TAACTTTGAAAAACGGATTTGAACTCTGTATTTCGTTTTCGCATCACTTCGAAAAACCGGTGAGGGTAAAAGGAAGAATGTGTTTGCGGAATGGCATGTAGCATGGCTTGCGGAATGACATAATTATGCGGAATGGATTATATGCAGAATGACTTAAATAAATAAATTAAACTGAAAATTGCGTCCTTTTTGGTGCCAATCCATTCACAAGCAGCCGCTTCTTTAACGTTGCTTGCTCCACCCGATGACAATGAAAAAGCCAAGAAAGACTCCTTGATTTCTTACGGTCGATTAGCTTTTTGTTCAGCCACAAAGATTCTACTTGCCTTTATTAGTCGGGCTGCAGGTAGCACCGATACTACATCACCAAAGTCGGCCATTGAAGAAAAGATGTTTTGGAAGGTCATACTCTCTTCTGCTTTAATTTTTTTTTCTCTGCAAAAGATATTTGCACGATTAACGTCACTTATTTGCATTTTAAACCGTGTGACAAGTGTTTCTTTTTCAGACGGTCGGTCGCCTGATTGTTCGTGACATAATATTCAGATATCGAACGTGTCTTGTATTTTGTTTTCTTGGCTGCGCGGTGAAGTTTCAGACACGCGAAGCTAACAGCTGGAGACGTGAGAAAAGAACCGTTTCAGTTTATTTTGGAAACGAGTTATGGATGATTTATCAAGTATTCGTGTATCAGCTGTGTTTCAATTTTAACCTTGCTTGTTGTGTTTCAATTTTAGCCTTGCTTTAATAGCAGTAATAAATGGACCAGCAAATCGATTGCTCCCTCTTTCTTTGCGCCATTTTCCATAAATTAAATTCCGCATAATTATGTCATTCTGCAAGTCATGCCACATGCCATTCCGCAAACTCATTCCCCCTTTTACCCGCACCGAGTGAAAGTTTAGTACTCAAGTCGCTTAAGGTAACGTTCAAAAAGATTGTCAAATCCATATTGAGGTGCCTGAAGACTATTAATTCAACGAAAAATTCTTTTTCAAAGAACTAAAACGGAGACCATGGTCAAAATTTTGGATAATTGAAAACCGTGTTGTTTCTTTCACTCCTCTAGTGTCCTGGATTCAAACCTTTCACACTTTTAACGAGAGTGTTATTCTCCAGCGATGCCCGTAGGGCGACAATGGCCCACCAATCTGTTATCAAAAATATCAGAAACGGGGAGAGTAAAGAATCATTTATTCTGGCGGGTGAGGACAAGGGAAAGAAAGCTTGTCACTCACGCTTTTCTTCAAAATGAAGCAAGCTCCTTAATTTGATATTGCCTAGTGCCTCAGTTTTCTAAAAAAAAAACAAACTGTCGTTTAAGATGAGTCTGTTCCTGTTCTAAACCGCTGATCATCTCTTTAAGTTTCATTACAAAATTTTGCAATTTACTAGAACTACCCATCCTTTTTTTGATTCAGAACACTCAAAGCTAGGATTAACCTATGTTCTGTTTCACTTCCGTTTCGATTCCCTATCTCAATCAATTTTTAAATTTAAAAATTTGCTATTGAGCGAGATGTTATATTGCATAATGTTATAAATTTCTTTTTTCAGAAGTGTTATTTTTTCCCTAACGATGAAGTCTCTGGCTTTTCTTTTAACGGTCCTGATGTTCGCTGGATGGTCCGAGGCGGGGCCGCCCTGTAAAAGTAAGCATAAGCTCTTTATAAAAACCGTACAAAGGGGAGAAGACAATCAATAATAGAATTGAAAGTGTAATTAGAATGGGGATGTGTGAAAGATTTTTGTGGGACGTATTTCTCAAAATTTGTAATAAAAATTCACACTCTGCAAAATTCCAAGTACAAATGTAACCTCTTCTTGACTATCAGTCGTCTGTCGTCAATGAAATTAGTTTGCAATGGCCTGGGAACGAATCTATTGAGTAAAATATACTGTTAGCCTGCGAGCTAATAACAGCTAACTTGTGCCATCTCCTATGGTAATAATTATTTTTTGAAGGGTGTAAGTATTAGTAGATACTATAGCCCTCAGATGCAGATGTAGTCGTTGTCAATACTGCATGCCTTTCAACTTAATGAGTGAATGAAATGGCAGGAGTTATGCTGTGGTGAAAACAACAAGTAAACACTCTGGTTATTGGCGAAAAAATATTTATTGTAAGTGAACTACAGCAATGAGATCTTTTGTACTTGTTTTTGTTTTCTGAGCTTTGAAAATGACAGCGTGATTTCTTTCACAATGGCTTCTCGATTTTGATTAACTGCTTTCATTGGTTTATTTTGGCGGGCTAAAATCGCTAAATTCCCCATTTTAGCCAGCAAAATGCGCCACAATGCCCGACAAAGTGATAACAATTCGTTTTCGAGATTCACAATTTCATTGCTGATTTATGAGTAACTCTCTAGTTATTGGACTTTTGTCCCACGCTTTCCCTTACTTTATTTGGCATAAGTTATTACAGCAGTAAAAGCTGATATCAGAAATTTCAGAAAAAATAATAGCCAGATTAAATTTTTCCTAGATGGCAATTTTCTTTTTAAAGAACAGGTAGGTTCCAATGGAGCTTATTCATAAAAAAATATTTACCACAAGTAAAATTGGATTGTATTAAAGTTTCTTCTCAAAGTTACTTATATTATATGGCCAGCGCGTTAAGACCGAAAAGGTTCGTCATTTTCAATGGGCATGTAATAATTAACAATAGAGCCAGTGACCTTACCGACTTGCGAGAATCAGGACCAAATGAAGGTGAAAAATTGTTACATGTAATGCCTGTCACCTTTTCCAATTTTTTCCTTGGAATTTTTTTTATTGTTTTTACAACAACAACAAAAAAAAAACAGCCAAATGCCACGGCTACATGCGTCATACTGCAAATGAATCTGCCCCAAAAGAACAACGAAGGCTTCTTTAATTTCGAACAAGTACTAAAGATGACAATACTAAAAACTAAAATTGCTGAATGCTGAAAAAAGGGATTATGTAATTTATTACGTAATAGTTGTCACAAACTGTAGGCTATCCATACAAAGCAATCATTGCTAAGTTCAATAGCTGTGTAATTAACCGCAAAAACGTATCATGTGAACAAAAATTTTCTTTGTTGAGCGAAATAAAGAGAGCAAAACATGTGAAAACAACCCACATACTTTTAAAGAGATTGTACTAACGTACCTTTCTTCAGTTTTTTTCTACATCTCAGGAAGTAAAGAACTCCAATTTCTGAGTTCATCTGACAGGTACGTTGAAGCCAAACTGGACAGAAAACAACATAATCTTTGCACTCTAGTGAGCTCGTGGCTACTCTCTTTTTGTCATAGATAGCTTACGTGAGTGAAAGTGGGAGCGGCCATCTTGTGTGAGATATACTTTATACGAAAAATGAACAAGAACTTGAGTGTAGATTAATGGCTTATCGTTGCACATAAATAAGGAAGGCTTTTACTATTATTATAACATTGCCTTCCCTAAACTGTTCTTCTGAAACTCGAAGCGATTTCCGAGTGATATATTTTTGCATTTCAGTTGCGAGAGTCGCGTTCAGGGACGTTTATTCTTGGCTTCAGTTATGAAGTTGGAGGTTATTATTGCCGTGATAGCTTTATTCGGAAGCTGTGTTGCAGTTTCAAGGTAGGGATTAATCTAAAGTTCTCAACTGCTATCATTACTTTGGGTATTCATTACAATAGAGGGTTTACAAGCAGTAAAATTTTGAAAAGGACGTATCAAAATTCGTATTTGACTGATCATGAAAAAAATAACAACGACTACAAAAAAATTCAGTGCGATATATTTCTTTTGTTTTATTCTCTTCAACCTTGTAGTCGAGTATGAGCATTTAATAATTCGATTTCTCATTTTCTAAGAAGAAACCCCCCAGGGATGAGATTGTTTCACAAAAAGGCTTTTCAAGTAGCACCTACAACAGCTTGGGGTGTTTAATTCAGTCGCAAATTACCTAATACTAGCCTAGATAAGACATTTCTTCGTCCCTAGGCCTCACAATTGCGCGTGGCCGATGCGTTTCGGGTCACGCGGTCCGAGCGAATTTTTGAGCCGTTCGTCTCGCGTCAGTGAAATGCATTGACCGGGAAGGCCTGGGGGACGCCGTACAGGGTCTAGGCAACATAAGACTAGAGAGGAAAAAATGGTTTTGTAATGAAAAAAAAAAAAACAAGCAAACAAGAGCAATAAAAGTATCATACACCTGCGCTTTATAGCTCTGAAATGATTTATTAATATCTAAATAACGACAAATTTTGATATATTTTTTAGATCCTCTTCTCCGAAAAGAAATAGATCTCAGGGTGGCAAAGTTATATCCCGACTAATGTTGCCGAATGCGATCATCAACAAGGAACTTTTGCAAGCAGCTAAACTGTGAGTACTACACTAGTCAGCGGAGAAACGATAGCTTTGGGCCTAAGTTGGTATAAAATGTTGGGCATTTACTTCGTATACCGGACACGGATGACTTAAAACAAAGGAACAAAAACCATGAAACAATATCTGGCAGAATTTTCCCTGAACAGAGAACAAAGAGGTCTTTAGTTTTACGTTATCTGTGTCCCGTACACGAAGTTTTGACCAAAAGCTAGAAAAATATTAGTTTAGGCAAGAGAAAATGAGTCTCTCTTGGTATAGGAGTCTACATGAAAGGATTTGGGTGGCTCGTGACCCTTTCAATTTCTAACCCCGCCCAACAAGAGAAAACTTAGGTGGTCCTCGAGAAGGCTCGGTTTTGTCTCACACGTATTTCCAGAAATATGATAAAAGTAGGATTTTCTCAGTATGCAGGGTAATCAGGTTGATACGGTGATTTATAGTTAATAATACTGCGTTCTATACGCTCTGCACATGAAGTTGGTTGGTTCAATAGCCTCGCTTTACTCTTGTTTGGGTAAGATAAGTGCATGCGCAGCACTACAGCTACATAATCGTCTAGACAACTTGAAAAAGTGGATTTATATCCCATCTCTTGTTTCCTAATATAATGTCTACTCCTTTACTGAGGCCAAAGAGGTTCGAGTGTGATGAGGGATTTCACTTTGCTTTCAAGGTATTTGTTAACTCGCCAATGTAAGATCTCACTTCCTCAGAAGACCAGCCTTACTTGTAGAGCAAAGAGGGCTTTGGAACTTAAGGGAAAGAAGAAGAAATGGAAGTTGAAAACTAGCTCATGGGGATTTGCACTGTTAGATGTCTCGAGTCCGTGGTCTTTCATAGCTAAAGCTTTCGTGGATCCATTTAGAAGATTCTACTTTGAAGAGTATATCCAAACTGTTCTTGTGAGCGATCTAAGTAAGCTCGTTTACAATAGTCTGGTTAACAACATTACAAAGAAAGAAATTAGCCACAACTATAACTACAAGATTTTGTCAAAGTTTTTCGAGTTGGCTGCCAAGCTAGGAGGGGTAAGCATGAACTAGTGCTACTCTAGAAAATTCAACTTGCTCTAGACAGCCTGGTGATGAAGAAAAGCACCACCGACCTGGATATGCAGGACATCTTATATAAATGTTTACTGTTATAATTAATAAGTTACCGGTAGCACACCCGTATTGGGGTTCTTCCTCTTGTATTCCGGATCGAACTATGATTTAAAAGTGCTGGATCAGTAAAAAAGGAGAAAACTGAAGTACCCAGAGTAAAACTAACAACAAATTTAACGCGCAAATGATGCTCAGTACATAAGATGACCTTTAATGTTTCGGGGACTATAAGCATTTAGATTTCGTGTTTTGCTGTCGGTGCATTTCGTACAGTGAAGATAATTAACTACACAGTAAATTACAGCTGATCAAACAATGTTATGTCCGAGAAGTTTCGTATTTTCTAAAACTTCCAATTATTTCTGTGGTTTGTTTTAGGAGGTTGCAATGCGAGCGTCCGAATACGAACCCTTTATCAACGACAAAAAGGAATGGATTAGTGACAAGTACTTTACTCAACAGCGTTTGGCAGGAGTCAATCCAATGTCATTGAGACGAGTGACTTTCCATGGGGCCTCTAAAGGTCAGTGATCGATTCTCTCTTCCAGCGCGGGTGCTGGCGCAGTTAGTTGACCCATGGGTTCTTATTATGTTCCCAAGGGAACATGCCAATAAAGTTTCGAGAAATCAGTGGAATTCGGTAGCGAATCCAAATTTTCATTCCTCTCCCACGCGATTGGAAAATTTAACTCGTACAAATTAAATGAAAATAAGAGTAAACAAATCTATTAATAACTTGAAACATCCTCAAAGTTGTTTTCCGGGAAAACCGATGTAACCGAGGAAACTGCCCTCTTACAGCAAGAACGAGAACTAACAAACAAATTGATCCCACGCGGGGTGTCAACACCGAGATCTTAGCCTAAGAGCAAGCTCTCCGGGACGCTATGGAGGCGGGGCGAGAAAAGGAAGGAGAGCTTGTAACTGCGTACGTCTCTCGAATTTGAAGTCCAGCTCCAATTGCCCACTGGCTCCCCGTCAGATTTCCGCCAATCAGCGCGGAGCGGAAACGAGCGCGAATGTAAATAAACAGTGGCGCGACACGCCCCAAGGATAATGACGTCAAATATCATCTCTGCCAATCAGCATTTCCCTTCGACTTTTTTATGCAGATGTTCAAATTCCAGAGACGTAGTTGCAAGCTCTCCTTCCTTTTCCCGCCACGCCGCCGGAGTGTCCCGAAGACCTTTCTTGCAGGCTACCGAGATGTGCGCACGAGCCACATTGGTGGCAGGTACTCTCCACTGAGCCAAGACCCCTCCCTCCCTTTAACTTTTTAACAAATCCAAGTTCTCTGAATAGATTCTGTTAACTGTAGTTTTTTCACGAAATTCCAAACTCTGCAAAACTTAGTTCACGGACAGGTGATGGAAACCCCCAATTTATGTTAAAGGATAAAGATCGCACAGGATAACATGGATGTCAGTCTTTCAGTAGGGGTCACAATAAATGTGTTATTTTATTTTATTATTAAATACTTATGTTAATCACTCAGAACAAATAGGACTGGATTGGAACAAACTTAAAGAAAATCTGAATCCTGATTTTGAGTGGGAAGCTGCTGTACAGAAGGCTTTGGGAAATATCTCGATTGAAGAGGTGTGTTCACATTTGTTTCTTTGACAGTGAATTAGACATTTAACGCAGATATCAGAACGTTAAGAGTACTATCAAACCACATTAATAAGGACACTAAGGGGTCATAGAAAGTGTCCGTATTAACGGCGTGTCCGTATTAAGCGGGTCAAATTTAGGGAGAATGTAAGGACTTTGTTGCCCTAGGGACAAAGCAAACTGGCCTTATTAACGAGTTGTCCGTATTAAGGGACAGACCATTAGAAAACTTGTGGGAGAGGGGGCGGGCGAAGTGCAAAAAAAATATCCGCGCAAGGAAAAGTTAAATGAAAAACAATTCATGTACGCCAATTAACCCTAAAAAATATTCATGCTATGGCCTAAAAAATATTCATACAAAGAATTTGATAACGAAAAAAATTCTTGGGGCTCGGAAATTCCCCCCACCCCCCCATAAGCTGGTGTCCGTAAAGCGGGGTTTGACTGTAATTTAATAAGTAATAAATTCGTTTATTCCTGTAGGATGCAATAAATGCGGAAAGGTCTGCTCTTGTTTCTTACTTATTTATAAATCTCCAAATTTTTGGCCTTTTTAGGCAATTATACAGGGCCGCATTTATGCCCTCCGCTATGAACAGTGTGACGACTTGCCCAGAGAACCGGACCTCACGGATAATGATCCTAGAAGAACCATGTGGGACACTCTTTCTCCAATTGCTTTGTTTGTTTCTGCTCCAGACTTCGTAACAGATCGAAATGATCTTGTCGCTGTGGCTATTCAAATGGACCACACCAAAGGTACAACACTCTTTAGTTGTCCGTTTCATTGCCTCAATTTAGTATACATGGATTAAACACACATTTTTGTTACTAAAGACATGAATGCGATCAAATAATCTGGCTGACAATCCGTATAGATCAAGATCAATAAAGAAGTGCGAACACAAAATCACTTCGTTTTAAATGCGTCGGTAGTATAAGCTGGTAGTGTCAAAACATGTTTAGTTTTTCACACTCGTAGATCATTTTGTTTGGCGCACGTTTGTGTTTTATGTCTATTTTTTAGACTCAGCTGTTTTTACACCCAATGACGAAGGCAACTGGATGATGGCTAAACTTAACGTCCAGGTCACAGATCTTGGATACGCACAAATAGTGGAACATCTTGCTAAGGTAGATTAAATCCTCTGAAAGATAATACATCTGTGAAAACGTAAATACTTAACTGCAGTAATTACTTTTGTGATATGAGAAAGACTGCCTAATCTGCCTTGGGAGGTGCGAGGATTTTTTAGTATAGAATGGAATAGAGTAGAATGCTTGACTGAAATACCTCGCTAGCAGTATCAACTGAATTACCAAGGTTTATAATAAATAGAAAATGGTTTTGAAACCTATGTACAAAATTAATCCTACAATTATGAACATGTAAAATCTTAGACTAACCATGAATTATATCAAAAAATACTTGCGCGTTTGTTGATAAAGATATCAGGGCACCTGTTGTTCTTGCATGGCTTTACACGGTATGATCTTACCTAGTCCCTAGGCCTCATTATTCTGCGCGACCAAAGCGTTTCGGGGCACGTGGTTCAAGCGAAATGTGAGGGCGTTTCCCGCGACGTTTCCCGCCAGTTCGCCTCGGATACGTCACTGAACTGAATTGATCGAGAGGGCCTGGGAAAACGCCGTACAGGGACAAGGCAAGGTATGATGAGTTCCACCTGAGGTTCTCAGAGGTCCCTCGTTGAATGGAGTGAGATGGAGCAAAACGTCAGGGAGATTAATGTCGCCAACCGTTCAGCTCCATAGGGTTTTTTGTAATATGACAGTTTTAAATTTTAGAAATTTCATCCCAATTAATTTTAAAAAATGACAGCGGCCGGGATTTTGTTATCTGAACAGTCCTTTTGATTTAGTCCTTTTTTAAAAAACATGTTTAATTTTAATTTTAAACGTTTGGTTTTTATTCTTCATGGTGGATGGAAATGAGCAACAGTCTCTTGCCGTTTTATTCATTTTGTTTGAATAGTAGGTTACTAGGTGATATTTGAAGTACATTTTCTAGCGATTAATGATTTGATTTGCTGGTTTTATGTATTCTTTGTTCTAGGTTCATTTCCTGATGGAACCATTCTGTGTTATCTTACGACGAACTCTATCCTCTCGGCACCCGTTGTATCAAATACTACAGTATCACTGTCGAGATGTTACAGTACCGAACACAATCGGAGCTCCTGTTCTTGTTGGCGAAGGAGAATATATGGATCAGCTGTTTGCATTTGGAAATGTGGGAACAGATCGTCTTCTGAAAGATGCACATCCATTATCCACATGGGAAGTCACAGATTTTAGAAACGAGTTAAAGGTGAGTTGCTGTAAAGACTTAACATTCTTTTAGCTGTTCAAAGTTACCGGTTAGTAGTCTATGCTAGCAGCTGTTTCGCGTGATTTCTGAAAGATTACAAAGCTAGGTCATGTAATTCAGCGAAAATAAGCCCTTTAAAAAACGGCCACTAAAGTAAATAAAATAGCATAATCGACTGCAGTAACACTGCGAAGAAATAAATTAATAACATAGCAAAGAAAAAAGCCTACGAATGGTTAAAAAATTGGACAAAATTTGACAGGAACAGAACTTGCGTATAGCGGGAATGCTATTGATCGTTTTCGCTGGCGTGGTCAGCAGTTACGCAAATTTCTTGGAATAAAAGCCTTTTTTATGATTTAAAAACGGACTTAAATCCACACAGGTGCCAGTTCGTCTTTTTGTTGTAAATGATGCCATGACGATGACGATGATGACATCACTGCAGATAATTTCTTTATCAATGTTTCAGCCAACTTCAACTTTTATCTTCTAAACCTTTTTAGAGGAATGAATGGTGAAGCACCAGTTCAATCCAAAAATTCCACAAGATGATGTTGTAAGGAGGTCAAGCTACCTCCTTGAGTAAAACACATTATACCTCGCTTATTTAAAAATAATGATGATTACCTCATTCTGTGTAAATTTGGTAGCCATGCTAGTGCTGTGAGGTTTTAAAGTTATAGTAAGCAAAGCCCAGAGGTCCGACCCTTCGCCCTTGCCCCGCCCCTCTCGATGCCCGGAAGCCCCAAAAAGCCGTGTTTGAAGAGGTGGTAGGAAGGGGTTGAGAATTACATAAAGTTTAGCAATATCGGATAGATCGTAACAATGAGAAAGGTAGGGCTCAGTTGGTAAATGACATTTATTTTATTTTTTGGGGGGGGGGGCTTTCTTTTCTTTTGTTTTTTCATTTTTGCTTGTTAGATTTCTTTGTAACTTAATTACTCTACTGTTTTTTTTTTAAATCACTACCGAAACAGTAAAATTTTTTGGCAATTTCTTTTGTTTATTAACCAGAAACGCCGGGTTGATGATAAGGATCTTCTTCCATACTTCCCTTACCGAGATGATGGGGAGAAAATCTTGGAGGTTATTGAACACATGGTGACGGAATATATAGGCTTGTAAGTATGAATAGTTCTGGAAGGAGTTCACCGACCGGGAATCGAAATGGGAATTGTAATCTATTTGGTACATAAATCAAACCAAAACTAAAACCGAGGTTCCTTCTAAATACTCTGATTAGCCATTTAGATTTCTCTCTCTCTCTCTCTCTCTCTCTCTGTTTCTGATTGGCTAGTACCTGGTTAATTCTTCTTAACGAGCCGTTAATCAAACTTTGACGATGTTTGCCGACATCGATAAAGACGATCTCATCGAGGGACAGGCAACTTAGTTGTTAAGACTGGAAGGTTGTTTGGAAATATATTTGAACGATTTATGAACAACAATTTTACGATTCGGCTTTCTTGAAGGATTTTGCAGATTACAGGTATGATATCCACTTCGATCATAGTCACCCTATCCAAAAATTGCTAAAAAAAAATGAAATGATAACGGTTCAGAAAATAATAACATAACAGTTGTGTAGGAGATGCTGGTAAGGTCTCTCCTGACTGGTCGCAGAAAACAATGACATGTCATTCTTTCAGTATTGCTTGGGGTCAGGGTTAGGCACCATTGCTGACTTCTCTTCCAAGCAGCTGTTACATGGCCCTAAATTAAAATGACCCTGAGGAGCCACTGGGAGGCGCAGATCCATATGGACCATATCTGAAAAGATCTGAGGTCGCCTCTCGTCCTTCTCGTACTGAGGTTCACAAAGATGCTTGATGTCGATGATAGTTCTTGACTCTGAAAACATGTGTGAGAAAAATTAAATTACTGCATTTTTTTCTTTTTTCTTGTTTTAGGTATTATTACGACAATCGAGACGTAAAGGAAGACAAAGAATTTGGCAACTTTCTCAATGAGTTGTCTATTGATGGAAAACCGCTTTTCCACGGCCGCATTGGAAAGGTGAGCTTACTGAGTAATTTTTCATCAGTTGTTTCATCGCTGACATTGCTCTTACCAAATGCTACTAACCTAGCAGAAATGGCCTTGCACTTTAAACTTATCCAATCCTCTTTGCGGATGAGCATTGTTTCGAAATTCTTTATGGATCTCGTAACAAAATTGAATGGTAATTTCCTGATTGCTTTGCTTTTTTGAGCGACTGGTTCTCGACCAATCAAAAGCCAAAAATGTAAGACAATTTGGCTGCCTACAACTTATTTACTGGTCCATTTACCACCTTAAACGGACAGCCGTATAAGTGAATTATCCTTTATATTAACAGATTAAAGGTTTACCGCCAAAGATCAATACTAAAGAAGAACTCTGTGATATTGTATCTCGGATCATCTCACAACTGAGCCTTCAACACTCCACAGTCAACTACCCGCTATCAGACTATGCTGAGTACATTCCTAACCTACCAACAAAGTTGTACAATGACACCAGACTGAAGGAGGGGGAATTCTCGGTTCTGCGACTGCCAAACAGGAATACATCTGCTGTAAGTTTTTCAAGTTTAGCTTGTTTCGTAACTGGCTAATTAAGTATGTTAGTTTGAAGCTGCCTTTCGTGTTAAGTAGTTTTGACACTGATGTTTTTCTGCCTCCTGATATGGAGAGTTAGTTATACGGTGTGCACGTGTAATCAAATTACAGCATCTCTCTCAATCAGTCTTCCTTTTCAAAGCGGAATTTTAAATCTTCACCGAGTCGATGGACGTCTTTCTTTCAACTAGTTCATTTTCTTTTTTAATTGTGAGTATAAGCAGCTCCACCATTTTATATGGTAGCCAGATACAACCCACAATCCCTTGATTGATTATGGTGATACATTGACCTTTTAGACTAGTAAAACCAAATTTCTGTGGTCCTCTCTTCCTCCAACACTGCAGCACAGTTTCTGTTTCAGTTTCTATTAGACCCCTCGTGTTAACTGCGCCTTACACCTTCCGAGCGAAGCCAGTTTGACCCTAATAACATAATGTTATTGAAGCGTTTTAAATGCCAACAATTATTGGTATTTCTGAAACGGTAACGTTCAAGCCAACGGTCCAAATGTGAGATCCTTACTATGAATAGTAACTAAGGGAGTCTGTTTGTGGTCGACAGTAGATAAATTCGTTGAGGAAAGTGTTTCAGTTCATTAGTAAACATAGCCTTCCCAGTGCGCCACTGTTCTGTCTAAGGGCCTGTTTACATGGAGGTGGGGTACCCCAGGTAGGGAGGTAAAATATGGCGGGTCACCCCACCTATCATGTAAACGTGATCAAATTAAAATGAGAGATTATATGGACAAACGGGTTACCCCACCTAAGCGGGTTGCCTCACCTACCTGGGGTTCCCCCACCTCCATGTAAACAGGCCCTAAAACTTGATGGTGAGCCAGTGGTACCCTGTATATCTTCCTACCGTTAAACTATGGTTTCACACATCTTAATTTCCAGATCGAAGCCAGCTTCAGTAACTCCCTGGCGTTATACCGTTTGGACACTTTATTTGACTACGGCAACAACCTTGAGGACATCAGAGCTGTGAATCTTATCAACGATTATTACAGCTTCCTCTTGTACGAAGTTCAGCCTGAGATGCAAGAAGTGAATGAAGAACGAAAGGAAAGAGGTGATCTCACCTACCCCTACCTTATCCCGAGATGGATACCTAATGGAATTCAGACCTAAAATGTTTGCCAGAAGCCACCAGAAGATGCGTAATTAGTTTTTTTTATTGTTTGTTTTCATGAAGTAAGCTAAGGGCGCAGCGCATTTTAGCGCACTTATCACTGCCCAGAAGTAAAAGTTATAGTAGTAGAGGTAGTTTTTTGCAATTTATATGGTTACGTGATTGTAAACTAACTTGTTACAAAAAAACTCTCACCATTAAAACGAGTCTAAGAAAGGTAATGTCACTCATTATTGTTCCAGTGTAGTAAGTGCTGAGGTGTTAAATAATGGTAGGATAAAAATAAAAATGGTTCTGCTTGATATGTAATTCAGTTTTCGCGCTAAACTTTTTGCGACGTAAGCGCTGAACAATTTGTCAAATCGAGAGTAGCGGTTCTTGCCAGTACTGAGGATAAAAACAATGCCCCTCCTCCTCCGCCCTGCTCCTATTCATTCCGTGCGTCCCCCGCTTTAAACGACATCAAGATTTCATCTGGTATAAGAGCTGCATCATTCTTTCAACTGTAATATATACTCTCACTTTTACGCGAAATGTGGGGTATGGGGACGCAAAATCTAGCGCGAAAGAGTTCAACTCCTCTGTAGGAAACTCGCTCAATACCAACACTTTGTTATTGCAGAGAATGAGTTTTCCTTCTCCTTGGTAAAATACCTAACATTCTCTAAATCAACCCAGTTAGTACGGGGAGTCGGACTTGTAATTGCGGAGAATTGTCACTTTTGGGGACGAGTCAGCTACAATCCCTCGTCCATTATCCCTGTACACTGAGGCAGCTATAGAATTGCAGGTTTTATAATGGGAGTTTTGTCACCTTGAGTGCACAATTATCAGAATTATTCACATAGAGAATATAAATCAGCAAAGCTGATCATGCATACTACGTGAAAATTAAAATTTGTAAAACATAAACACGACGACTACAGAACCTAGACTAGAGCGGGGCGTTAACCATTGCTCCATTATTGTGGCTCTTCGGAACCGCTCAACAACACAGAAGCCTTTGCTTAGAGATTAGCCACACAATCTGTTGAAAGCAATGATATTGAACCATGACACCCATAGAATCAAGTCGTATCACATGTCTCCGGAAGGGCAAAAGTCCGAGTGTGGTGTCGACATCTCGCAAAGAAAACAAATAAAATCTTTTCCAAATCTTAGGAAAAGTGTCAAGTAATATTTAATTTTTGACAACAATACGTTTGGTTTTTTATATGGAAAGTGTTGGTTTGCAACCTAGCCTGCAACCAGGCGGTGTGTGTCACGAGATTCGACCAATCAGGATGCGATTTTTGTAGAGTGATTGTCGCGCTTGGAAAGAGCTTTTTTCAGAGGTATATATGGTGAAATTCTCGCTTTATTCCAAGCTTGTGTTGGTAATTTCGACATTATACCGCCGTGGAAAGTTGTTGGAACACTTTATCTTGATAGTAGTTGTATTACTTTTAAATATTTTGCTTTCTTGAGCGTTTGTGACAAGTTTGAATTGCTCGGTCATGTGCAATTAAGCCGCCATGGATGATTTGAGAGTTATTTTCGCCGTTCTTCTTGAATTTATTGCTGGTTACTCTGGTTACGGTTAGCGGTTTTATCGGATATTTTGGTCAACTTGTTACTTCAACCCTTCTTCTTTACAAAATTTTGTGGTCTACCCGGGTCTACCCCTGTTAGTTTTCCCGTTATGAGGCGTTGAAACTGTCTTGGAATGAAGAGATCGTCTCAGCCAAGTAGCACATTACTCCGATCCGGGAAACGGGCTGACAAAACACCCCGAAGCGTAAACCGATGTAAAGCGAGTAACGACAAATCTGGGAAGAGTTTGTTCCATTTTAAACCAGAAAAGGTAAATAAGTTTGAACATTGTAATAACCTTTGGAAACAAAACATTTTCATAAGCCAGTGCGGAAATAGTGAAAGCTTGTCTTCCAAATAATTTGCATGTAGTGTGTGCTATGTGTAGACAACAACATACGGGATTTTAAATTGTGACGTTAGGTTTATAACTGCGCTCACTTCAATGAACGTAGAGGCAAGATGTAGTGGGTTTATTTCTGCGGCCGTAGCTCCGGTGAAATTTCCATTGTGCTGTAGCTGTTCGGCTCTTTCGGTCTATTTTTCCCTTGCGTGATAGAGGTTTTATTTGCTCATAAGGATTACACTGAACAGGCATCGTTTGCAAAATAATATAAAATTGTCGATGAAAATAAAATTGTTGTAAGAGAAGATGCAATATGGCTCACATTCCCGGGCTCACCTTGCTCTTTGTTCACGCTCCCTCTCCTTGCCCGGTTATACAGTCCATCAAAAATTACCATAAACGGACGAATTTTTTTATTTAAGCAAATTCAGATATGAACTACAGATCACTTTCACTCTGAGATAAAAATATACATATAAACACAGCACCAAAGAGTACATAAATCTTCTGAGAAGCAGGAATCGGCTAATATCGCACCTTCGCTCGTCTCCGAATCGCGATAAACTTAATGAAATTGTCTTATGCAGCCAATAGCAAGCATCTAAGTTAAGGCCAATATGAGATCTTGAAAATTCTTCAAATCGCTCTCTTCCCTAACGTTTTGCAATTAAGGAGGCAGTGTTTTGATCCCGGGTTTTGATTCATATACTGCATCTCTCTCCCGAGAAGCTTACTAGACCGCAAGAAGCTCAGGTTATAAAACGCTAATTTGAGTCTTAAAATCTCGCTAAGCCTCAGCTCAAAATTCGATAAACAAATTCAACACCTTTAAGGAGCTATGCCGCGAATTTATCAAAACTAAAGCGGTAGGAACTGCCACCAAACTGAGTGAAACATAAAAATTGGACAAACGTGGAGAGGATTGAAACGCCAGATTGCATTTTTTTATGGATTGATTGATTTAAAAAAAACTCGTTAGCCATGCAATTGTTTAAAAGTTCATTTCTGTTGTTTGTAACGTTTGATATAATGCTTTGGGAGAGATATTTGTTTGAAGCGAAGCTGTGGTTTTGCCATTCACAAGTAGTTTCTCAACTTCCAAAGCAGTTAGGACGCGTAGTAATAGCAAATAAACTAGACATGCCGTGACATAGCCCTGAAGATACAACATATAAACCATCCTAAATTCAGCGAAAATTTTCCACTTCAGTTATCTCTAATAAAAATAGGCGTCGTCCATTGTTTCAGCTTATCGATACTACAATGTAATACCTTCCTATGCTTCCTGTGCCAGCGGCCTTAATTTAAGTGACGTGAGACACTCTGTTCTAAAAATTTAAAGTTTCCCTGTCAGACTCGACTATTTATTTCTAAAGGCATCGCCCATCTCGACAGAAGCTCGTAATTTACCGCACGGTTCAACTGGCATGTCGCTGTCTACTTAAAAGGGGCCTAACGATGTCTCAGCTAGAAACAGACGCATTGGCGTAAAACATTATTCAGTGCGTTTGCAAACACATGCCACGCCTACACGCAACATTAAATAAAGACGACGCTAATTAATTTGTAGGCTGTAAGTTTCCACTTCAGTTACCACTCAAAAACAAAAGAAGTGTTGTTCGTTATTCTTAAAAAACTCTCTTGTGTCACTCAGCACAAGCAACACGAGTTACGCCACTGAACTATATTCTTAACTTTTACTGTAGATTTAATTTCCACTTCCCGTTTTTCTACTATTGTCTCTGTCAATCTAATCAAATATAAGATTGAAGTTACAGACAAATGTAAAGTCACGCAGCAAAACTTGTTCATTTCCAGTACCAAGTAGTTTCGTTTGTGCCCGGTGTTTAAAATACTGCCGTTATGAAATTCTAACAATTATAAAGGCCTTGAAACTAAATGCATATTTAGTGATAAATTTTCAGCAGTTTATTAATTTAGTCCGTTGGAGCAAGTCGGACTGAAGCTTGTATCTCAATGTACACGTGAGACGCGAGACGATTTAGACCTGAAAGTCTTTCACTTAAGACATTGTTTTTAATCTCAACAATTTTAACCTTTGAATTAACAACTCAGTGTTATAAACAGAACAATTCTTTAATTTTGCTTAAATGAAATAGAAGCGGACTCTCGACGAGCAACTGGCTCTCATGAGCAAAACTAATCGAAACTCCGGTTTTTAAAACTTATATTTAGTATATAAATAAGCATAATGAGTTGGCCTGAAATCCAGGGTGGTTTCATTTCAATAGTTGTACACTCGAAGCTTGTTTAATTCAGTTCAACTTTGTTACCCCTTAACAAAAGCTGATTTTGCAACAAAGCCTTTGGAATTCAATACATTTAATAATCAATTTTACTCTTACTGTTAATTCATTTATTTGGTGTTTTTTTTTTCCATCGGAGGATGTTAAACGGCGACACCAAGCAAAAACGTTCCGTTTTTAATTAATAAATGTCAAGTGTACCTGGTATCTTTAGTGTTCATTTTTAGAGATGAATCCTATTTCCAAAGAAGCTTATGATATTCTCGATTTCAGTACAAGTGAAGGAATTAAGGCAGCCTGCGAAACCAAACGCCTTGTCACAAAAGAGGACTCAGCAGGTGAACAAACACAATACGACGCTTTATGACAGGAAACATAAACGACGCTCAGGAATTAAACTTAAAATTTCCACTTCAGTTAGCCCTGATAAAACAGACGCATTGTCGCTACATTGTTTATTGATTCAAGAACCTTCCTTTACCACCCAATATTATAAATCATGCGAGTCACGTCCCCTAGCTAGATTTTTAATTAGTATAATATTTATGTTTTGTACCTTCGCTTCCTTCCACTTATGTGAACCCCCTCAAACCTGCCTGCCAAGACACGAAGTATCAACTTTTTTTTTTTCAAATCTCCATGAGCTTTTATAAATCTCTAAGTACTGATACGTTGTAGAAGTCAGAGTAGCTTCATATGAAGCATAAAATTTATTAATACCTCTGAGTAAAACTGTTACACAAACATGTTACCACATTTGTTTTCCAATTCAGAGAGAGAATGCTACGTAATAGTATGAACCATTGTGCCAGTTTGAAAATCTTGTAAAGAGAATTGGTTCTAATAAGTGATTTTGCATTATCCTGTCATCCATGAAAACAGCGCGATAGAATACGCGCTGTTTTTCACTTTCTTAATTTAGCGACTGTAAATCAACTAGATTGTGAACAAAGGTTTTTTTTTGTAAAGAAAAGAGTTAAGCAAGCGGAAAAATAAAAACCCACAAACTATTAAATTATCTGACTAAAAGTACTTTACTCCAGTTGTCCATCTCAGGGTGTCAACAACTATCTGAGGTAAAGTTAAAGGTATGTTTAACGGTTATTGATTGATGAGTGATAATTTTTGCGGCAAAAGAATATATATGCACTTTGATATTCACTGTAGTCGAAGCGATATATATTTTTTTTTCACCCGTGTGAGCTCGTACTTATATTTTCTTTTATTCATGGCTTAGTAGGCAATTCTGTGTTTAAACGCGAGAGTGGGCGCGGTGCCGCAGCGAAAACGCCAGTTTTAAAATGAATTCAGAGTTTGAAAAAACGGGGCCCGTTTTTTCAAACTTTGTCCCGTTTATTCCAATTTGCTGCATGGCAAGTGTAGGCGAATTTCCCTGGAGTTGATTTCTAGAGGACCGCACTCAAGTTTAGAGAGGGAAAAAGAGATTCGTTGTCGCTTGTTTACGTCCTCCAAAAAACTGACAATTAGGCACTTTCCCGTCGTAGTCGTGCAACGACGGTAAAGAAATGCACAAAAAAGCGTGATGCACGTGCAAACTTGTTGTTTTGCGTAATAAACCTATTGCTTTTTTGACGTCCTCGCTGCCGTCGCCGTCGTCGTTGCTAAAGCTCCCTTAAGATGCGAGGACGGCGACGACAGGTAAAACGTCGCTTACAAAGTGAATTCGGGGTTTTCCAATCATCAGTTGCGACTATTCCATCTCGCTTTCTTTGTCGAATGTACGCGAATTCTTCTGGAGTTGAATTCCTAAGAGCACAGTATCCAAGTAAAGAAGGAGAAAGAAAATTTCGTCGTTGCTTGTTTACGTCCTCTATAAAACATGAAATTAGACATTTTCACGTCGTAGTCGTGCAAAAACGGCAAAGAAATGCCCAAAAGAGTGTGATGCACGTGCAACGTCGTTGTTTTGCTAATTAAAACTATTGCTTTTATGACGTTCTCGTTGCCGTCGCCGTCGTCTGATCTAAAGGTCCCTATTCTTTTTGTCTCTTTAGTCTTAAAGAAATGCACAAACGTAACAGTCACTGACCAGTTTTGTCAATGTACGTCTGACCAGCTTAGCTAAAAATACTCAACTTCGGTTCATTTTACTAAACTGGAAAACATCTTGAACATAATCACAAGAATGTCCTTGCATATATTAATAAAAAGAAAGTCATTTGCCATTTATCTGTCGCAAAAGAAAGAACTATTGCAGTTAACCGACGACAAATTAGACGAAATGTAGTGACTCTAATATTTGGCAGTATCACTGTAAACAGTATACCTTGAACATATATGTTTGAGGCAATCCAAAAACACATAGTAACTTTGCACAAAAAGCTGCCTAAAAATTAGATAGTGTAGGTTAGTCTTTTTTTGGTACTCTAGCAATATATATTTTTCAGATATAATATCTTTTTACGGGTTTGTCTATAAGCCAGTTTTTCCTGAAACTGATAGTGATAGTTTCTTCAATTCAGTTGTGAGTGTCCTGATCAGACAACGAGACGTTTATTCTTGACTCAGCTAGCAATGAAGGTGCAGGTTATTATTGCCCTGATAGCTTTAGTCAGATGCTACACAGCAGTTTCGAGGTGGGTGATAATTAATACATTTATTACTTACACGCTATCGAGAGTTAAATTAACTATAATTGTCCATTATAACTAATGAAATCCACATTAAAATATACACAGCAGGATCTACGTCCTTTGTGAAAACTTTAAGTATTTATAGGTCAGACTAAACAAACTCAGCCTGACAGCTATGTTTTGATGAAATGGGGAGAGACAAAATATAACAGCTTACTGCTATAACGAAAAGAATCTGAAAACACAACTAAAAGACTGAAGCATGCATCCACGAATTCTAACGACGAAAAAAATGTAACTTTCAATCTTTTCCCTAGCTCTTCGTCAATGGTAAGAGATGAATCTAAGAGGAGCGATTTCAACAAGAAACTTTTGCAAGCAGCTGAACTGTAAGTACCACTGGCATATGATCAGAACCGCTCCCGTGATTCTTAATCACGTGACCAGATCATCAGTCATGAGTCAAGTGTCTCCTTACATTGATCGTTTTGCCCTAGTGGTCCTCCGATTTGTGTTAGAATTAGAAAATTGACGTGATGTCCACTGGACTTATACTCAGGTGCTTAGGTAAAACCGATTTCGATCGCACAATAGAGAGATTCAAGTCTGTATCACTTATACTAATAGGGATTTACTTTGCTTCTAAGGTATTTGTTGACTCGCCAATGTGAGATCTCACTTCCTCAGAAGACCAGCCTTGTTTGTAGAGCAAAGAGGTTTTTGGTACTCACGAAAATGAAGAAGAAATGGGATTTGGAAGAAAGCTATGGAGGTTTCGCTCTGTTGGACTCCCCGGGTAAATGGGCCTTCTTAGCTACAGCTTTCAAAGATCCGTTTAGACGATTCAACTTGGAGGGATATGTTCAAACTGTCTTCGTGAGCGATTTAAGTAAGGTCGTCTACGAAAGTCTGGTTAACAGTATCACGGAAAAGGAAATTAGCCACAACTATAACTACCAGATTTTATCAAAATACTTCGAGTTGGCTGCCAAGCTAGGAGGGGTAAGCATAAAATCATTTTTCCAAGGCACACCGTCAGTTATTTTAAGGTAATTATTCATGATGATATAAGTAAAAGTAACGTAACTGGCATTAAGGCTTGACTCCACAAGCTTCAGAGCAGTAATAATTATCTAGCTGAAATAAATTAAAGGCCGTTGGTATTCACCTTTCTTTCTACTAAGCATCAACCCATAACTGTTAAATATCTCAAGCTAGCCTAAAGGGCACCCAGACCGAGTCTCAAATTGTTTTCTCTATGCTTCAGAAGCCTGTTTGGTTACTTTGGCGCTGTCCTAAAATCTATTTATCTGCTCCGATGTCTTAGAGAAACTTTGGTCGTCTTGAAAGGTTTAAGTAGCTTTTTGTCTCACCCAAAACTTTTAGCTAACCAGGATGGGTTCGGTTGAAAGTTTAATGTCATGGAGTAGCCGCACATTCATAAGAAAATTCTAAGGGAAGTTTCTCCTTTAAACAGAAATTGTTCAGGAGACCTTTCCTAACAATAAACGTAATATCTTTAATAATAAAATATGAGAAACAAAACCTTCGAAAATCGTAGGTAAATTGGAAGAAAAACTCACACTGAAAACTCCGAAAATCCTGGCCGACGATTTGAACGGTTCTCAAGAAATTTTTAGCCTTTCTCGAGCTTTCAGAAATCAGTTTTAGGCAATATTTGCTTCTTCGAACAGTTACTTTACAGAAGAAATTCGTCGGGTGCCCCAGGGCTGTGTCATGTGAAAATCATTTTCAAGGTAAAAATATTTACACATGAATACTTTCACTAACAGCTATAAAGACATAAGTGACTTCATACACATTAAATATTTTCACTACAAATTCAAAAATTATAATAAACTGATCTCGAATTCTAAATGAAAATTACACAAATGATTATTGTACGATTAGGCTTTGTTCAGACAGGTAAGTGAATATTCCGGATGGCAAGAACGCCCCCTTGCCAAACTCGTCCCCAGAGCGTCCGTCACTTTTGTCCAGCCGATGAGGCAACAACAGCTCTGGAAGAATCCAAAACCGGAACCTGGTTCCGGTTTAATTGCGCCTGCTTGAAATTGTTTACCCATTTGACTAAGAAAAGTTCTCAAGGAAAATTTTCCTTGCTGGCACATTGTTACAATTTACTCTTTCCAAAGCAGTTTTTCTTTCTGTGACCTTTGGTCGATGTATTTGGTGAAGAAAATGTACATTTATTTAAACGACGAATGAACATTTGTTAGTCACGACGACATACATTCTTTCGTGCTCAGAATGAGCACAACAGTAGGCAAATTTTAGGGTTTACCTCGGTGTAAGAACCCATGAACTCTTTCTTTGTTTTGTACTTTTTGTTTTCTAGGTTTTATTGTGTTGACTTCCTTGTTTTCTTTGTTTTACATCACCGGTGAGTTTAACAGGTTCTTACACCCAGGATGAGCCAAATTTGGAAGGTTCAGTAGCATAAATGAATAGCATCGCTTTAAAAAAAAGCATTAGGATAACTTTTAAAAATAAGAAAAAGGAAATTATTGAACAAAATATCATTGTAGCGTCATTTATATCATTTATATCGGTTTCAAGTCGTATAAGACTTGTGTGTACACAAATCGAATCAACGTGCCCACGGTTTTTTGATTAGCAAAGAAATTTGCATGTGATAAACACGATTTTTTCGGCCAATCAGAGGTGTTAATTTTCGGATTCTTCCAGAGGTTAGTGATCCCTGTCGCTGTGCAAAAGGATCGCGGCCTCTGGGAACGAGATTGGAATCTGAAGACATTAATCAGTCGCATTAATCATAAAACAATTTATTTCTTTCAAAAATAATTTTCATACTCTATTTATTCTGTGGTTGTTTTTAGGAGGTTGCAATGCGAGCGTCCCAATACGAACCTTTCATAACTGACAAAAAGGAATGGATTAGTGATAAGTACTTCACTCAACAACGTTTGGCAGGAGTCAATCCCATGTCTTTGAGGCGAGTGACTTTCCATGGTGCCTCTGAAGGTCAGTGATTCTCTCTTTGAACTCCCTTCTTATTGGAAAAAAGTTGCTTTAATTTAATCTTTTATCAAATGCTTCCAACAAGCCAATTTCCTTAAATAATGAAAAACGGGGCAAAATTATACAGTTTACAGTCCTGTTTGGAAAAAACTGCTGTTTAAAAGGCCTTGGGTAACGAAGACTCGATACTTTGGAAGTGTCAGTTAATTTCAGCTTTATATCCAAGTGTGTGTGAATTTTAAGAGCTGGGGTCTACATTTACGCTAACACTTTTCATCTAGGAGTGATAATACATTTCTTTTAAAGAATTCCTTAAGCCTAAAAGCAAATACACAACATGTTTTTTTTTTTCACCATTCCAGATCGAATTGGAACTGATAGTTTTTGAGGAAGAGTTACATTCGGAGAACTTGGAAATTAATGAGTTATTTCTTTCTCCCGCAGAACCAATAGGACTGGACTGGGACAAACTTAAGGAATTGCTGAACCCCAATTTTGACTGGGAAACTGCTGTTCAAAAGGTTTTGGGTAACGAAGACTCGATAGCGGAGGTAAGTGTTTCCTCGTATTTGTCTCTAGTTTCTATTAATTATGCACTCCCTTAGTGCTGTGCTTGAATTTATAGCGCTCTGGTCTGAATTTTTCTTCCACAGCTAAGACCGATTTACTAGACTGAGGTACGTCGAGTACTGTCATTAGTTAGTACGATAAGATTAAAGTCTGCTTGTGTTTTCTTATTATTTCTTATTTGTTTCCTTTATAGGCCATTATACAGGGCCGCGTTTATGCCCTCCGTTATGAACTGTGTGACGACTTGCCCAGAGAACCAGACCTCACAGATAGTGATCCACGAAGGACCATGTGGGACACTCTTTCTCCAATTGCTTTGTTTGTATCTGCACCAGACTTCATAACAAAACAAAATAAGCTTGCTCCTGTGGCTATTCAAATGGACTATACCCCCGGTACGGCAAATTTTTTTTGGACCTCTTTCTGGAAACAGTTTTAATTACGCTTGTATTCCTTTATGTAACTTCAACTAATTTAGGCGCGGTTAAAACGTCGCATTTCACGTAAGAGGAAAATCTATTGCTCCCGTTCACTTGACGTAAAATGCGAAATGTAAAGTTAGAACCGGGTCTAAATAGATTTATGCTTCATGTTCCTTTAGATAATAATCATAAAGTCAATTATTGATGTTACTTGGATACCAAGTAATGATATTTCCATTTTGGGATAAATTTGGCCACAGGGGTGGCTTCTTATTTACTAAAAGCAACTGAGCCAGGAAAAACAGAAACACAATTATCCCAGATAAGGTGAGGCACGCCCGCGATCCAGGAGAGTAAAGTACAATAAAATGAAAGGGGTGCCCTACAAATGAAGATAACGATGTCCAGACGGGTACACGCCTTCAATGGTCGCTGGAGAAATGAAGCATTGATCAGTCACATTGTGCATAAAAGCATTTTATTTCTTGGAGAAACAAATTTCCCACAAACCATGCTTGTCTATTGTTGGTTTCACACTAGAGCTTCAAGTAGAATGTAAGTAGACTTGGAACCTACTTTTGAGTGTGAAGGGGTAAATTATACCTAATTAAACTTTACTTTGTGACTATGGAAATGTTCGTAGTTCAAAGAAGTCGAAGTTCGCCGCCAAGTATGGGCTACACCACACTTGAGAAATAGAAGCCATGTGCACGATGTGCACGTCAACAAGTGTAAGGCATGTTTCCTACAGAGCAACTTAAGATTTCTAAGTACACTTGCTTACTTGAAACAAACCAAGCTTCTAGTGTGAAGCCAAGTTATACTTAAAAAATAAAAATACATGCAAGCTAGCACATAATGGGTATTAATTTTAATAACAAATAGTGCTATCACGAAGAAAGGGGGAAAAACAGAAATATAATTGTTGGCTTACATTAGAACTCTCAAAAATAATCTAAGTTTACCTGGAACCTACAGCTTTTACTTCAAGTAACATACTCGTCAACAAGTTTGAAGCCACGTTTCTTCAGAGAGACTTACGATTTCCACGCGCTCTTGAATCAATAAATGCTTACTTGAAACGAACTTCGCTTCTAGTGTGAAGCTAACGAATATCTCTTGAGCTGCAAGTTTCAATTGTGCTTACCTCCTTTTGCATTCTTACATGTAGAATCAGTGGTTTTTACGCCCGAAGACGAAGGCAACTGGATGATGGCTAAACTGAACGTTCAAGTCACAGATCTTGCATACGCGCAAATAGTGGAACATCTTGCTAAGGTAATTTATTATTGTTGCTTACGATAGATGTACGGCCGCCCCGACCTGTTGTGGATGGCCATGGGATAGTAGGCTCTTAATTTAGTTAACCATTTCTATCATTTCAATATGGTGGCAAAACTCTGTTAGTTTCAGGCCACGAGTGTATCCCTTAGACGGAAATGGAACTTCCCGGCACAAACTAGCCTCTCAAATTTTGGGTAATATATTTCTCTATTCATTGAATTGTGTCGATTTTTATATTTAAAGGCGGCGGAATATCGAATAACCAGCCATAAAGTCGTCTGAAACTCTCACTCCCTTTCTACATGCATTTATTGCTGTTGTTTAAATAGTAGGTCATGAGGTGATATTTAGAGTACCTTTAATTAGTGATTAATAATTAATTAATGATTAATTAATTCTAAAATTTGCTGGGTTTATATGTATTCATTATTCAAGGTTCATTTCCTGATGGAACCATTCTGTGTTATATTACGACGCACGCTGTCCTCTCGGCACCCGTTGTATCAAATACTACAGTATCATTGTCGAGATCTCTTAATACCGAACACAATCGGAGCTCCTGTTCTTGTTGGCGAAGGAGAATATATGGATCAGCTATTTGCATTTGGAAGTAATGGAACTGATCGACTTTTGAACGATGCACATCCATTATCCACATGGAACGTTACAGATTTTAGGAAAGAGTTAAAAGTGAGTTGTTACTTAAGGCAACTTACCATTCTTTTATTCACTGATGTCAGGCTATGCCAGCAGCTGTCTCATGCGTTTCCATATATGCTTGTTCGTAAATTATCTATGTCATTACATTTCCTTAAAATAAGCCATTAGAAAAAGGCCGCCACTGAACGCGAAGTATAGTAGATCTCCTTGGACGCTTGGGTACGAAGGAAGGAATATTCTAATATTCTAATAAGAGAGTATATTGATGATAGCAATAGACCTTTCCCGCATTACGCTCCAGTGAGCAAACATAAAGAAATGAGGTCGAGGCTCGGGTGGACAATTTCATACAAATCACTGTATTTTGTCCACCCGAGCCTCGACTTGGTGCCTTTGTTTACAGGAATGCAGGAAAGATCTATTATGGACAAAATTCAAGAAAATTAAGTGATGATCCGGGTAAGGTGATAGCAATTTCTTTTGTTGTGCGGCAACGGTGCTTTCCCCACGTAGGAATGTTCTCATTTTTACACAGAGAATACATAAACCTACATGAAGGCAGTTTACGCAATAATATGCATTTACACTCCACTTTGAAAGGGTGTTTTTTTGTGTTAAAAGATTTTGACCAATCACAAGAGTTGAAAACAATAGCCAAGAAAAGTTTACAATTTTACATGTTCCCCACATAGGATTTCTTTGTTATTCAAACTGAGATCAGATTTTGTTATATGGAAGGTAGTTGGAAAGTAAGGATGAACATATGTACCGCTTTATGAAGTTTTGTTAACTTTTGCTGTTTAAGCCAATCAGAAGTAAATACAGACAATAGAAAAGTTAGCACCTTTTTTGTATTCCAACATGTTCGTTGCCGTTGTTGCTATCGTTCTTATCTGGACCGTTTCTTAAAACGAGATCAGAATTACCTGGGTTTTTCTCAAGAGTTTTTCAGTTTAGGTCATTCGTTTGAAACTTTAATCAATAATGTTAGGGAAAATATGTCATTCAGGGGGTTGTTCAAAAAATGTTGATAAGATTATTTACCAGATAAAAATCAAATTTCAAGGATGAGGTGCATATCTGCTCATAGCGTTATTTATTTGTCTTATTCTGTGAGAGTTTTAACTGCAATTTTTTGTCAATGATCTCAAATCACTTTGTAAACTTTTGTAATGTTGTATTTATTAGAAACGCGGAGTGGATGATAAGGATCTCCTTCCATACTTCCCTTACCGAGATGATGGGGAGAAAATCTTGGAGGTTATTGAAAACTTGGTGAAGGAATATGTAGACTTGTAAGTATGTAGAAGATATGGAACGAATATCGCAACCGGTTACATAACAATTATTCACCGAGGTGGAGGTGGCTAGTTGTGGATATTTACCTGGCAGCTTCCACTAGCCACCGATACTGAGGTGAATAATTGTTTTAGTATATACTAGAACAGTGAGATAATTGAGCACAAAAATGATTAGTTTTAACTCATTTACCGTTGCCAACGACAACAATTTTAGCGAGCAATGACCGAACCGGCGGTCGCCGCGTTTTCTTATCGACAAATAGAACTTTTGAAGGCAATTGTTTAGCTCTTGCGGGGAAATTTCTTCAAAAGGAGTTGTGAATTCGTTTTATATTTAAAACCATCCTGTAAAAAAAACATTAAGTCTAGTCTTAAGCTTATTTGTAAACATGTCAGCTAAATAAAGTAACGCAAGACTTAATTTACATTTGCAAACAAAAACGTTTTTTTTTCCGCTTTCATCGATAAATTCAAGTCAAACAGGCAAAGCCTTACCTGTTAAAAATTCCAAACCGAATTTCGTCACCTTCTTCGTGTATTTTGGGAACAGCTTGTTTGATTATTTGTGAAATTTCTTTGTTTGTTAAGGCAGCAAACTGCGGGAAGCCATTTTGCTCGTAACTTACACGAGTTTGGAGTCGCTTGCTCGGAGGAACTGGAGGTGAATCAGTGAATAGCACTGGATATCCCGAGTTTGAGTAGGCAATCAGGGCGCGCGAAAAACACTATCCACTGTTTAATTATATACTAATCTGGTCTATGAATCGAATTTACCCAAACCTAAAGGCGGGGCTACCATTAAACTCTTTCAATATATTAACTTGGAAATTAAAATGTTAACTTTTAACCGTGCAATTCAATAATCTCGAAGCCACTATCCATATTGACAAGTTATTTAACAATTATTCACCGAAGGCGAAGTTGATATTGTTGAAATAATTATTCAGCAATAGGTGAATAATTGTTTTAGTATACGGCTACTTCGAGAAAGGCTGTCGGAAAAAGTGCACGCGACATTCCCTAAAGGTATATTTTGTGTGGTTTTGAGTTAACAGTTCGTTCGCACGAACGACCATGGACGTACCTATGTTTGCGAATGCCAAAGGAAAGCACCAGAAGTAGGTTCAACAGCTACTGAGTGTCAGGAACAGTGTATTGATCATATCCCATATCACCTTTCGGGATTGTCGCGAGCACATTTTTTCCTACCACCTTTCTCAAAAGAGCTGTATACACACAAAGACAGTTAGTGATCTCAACAGAATCAGAAAGGAAACCATTAGAAAACCGTTTAGTTTGATTAACGGATGAATTCGTGCGTTGATGAGAAAACAAATTTGTGGAAAATTCCAAGTCGCTCTATATTTTCGAACGATTCGCCGGCTGTTTTGCTTAGATATTGAAGAAAAATGTATATTTATACAATGTTACACATTAAAAAAAGACAACTTTTCTGCCCTTTCCAATAAGGTACAGCTTTAAGGCATTATAAATAATAGCAGAGATATAATTTTAAAAGGTACATGGTCAACTTACGTAAAACCTAGCTGCATGAAAATTTTGTATAAAAATAAAAGGTTTGTTCTGGTAATCATTAAATCTTACATTAAATATCTTTTAAACATGGTCCATTTTCCGAAGAACTATTAATTTCCTTCTAAAATAAATTATTGCCGAGCTAGCAAACGAGCACCCAATAGCTTTATATGGCGCTGTAAATAACAGCAGAGATATAATTGGAAAATGGAACATGTTTAAAGATCTCTAATGTGCCAGCGAATAATATAATTGAATGAGCGTTAACATCTAAGGGCTGCCACCTATCCTTACCCCAATTAGATTCATAATAAAGAATTATATTATTATTTACTGTGCTCCGCAAGTGTTTGTTTCCAGAAATTGAATTATTGCCTTGAATTTCATCGTGTTTTAGGTATTATTACGACAATCTTGACGTAAAGAATGACAAGGAATTTCGCAATTACCTCAATGAGTTGTCTACTGATGGATCATTTTTCTTCCACGGTCGCATTGGAAAGGTAATCTTACGGAGTCATATTGCTGATAAGCTGTTCTGCTTGTTTTCTGCTGTAGCGTCATCTAGCTGCCGTACAACTAACCTCAAGGCGAGATGGCTTTGTTCTCCATAAGACTTTCTGGGACACATGCAGGGAATAGAGCGCCCCATGCAATCAGGCCCCGGAACATCTGGGAGGGTATAGATTCTATTTCTGAAGGGAACTCAAGGATTTAAGCCTCGTGACGTCATGATCACCAAAAACATCTAACTTTTGTTTGTTGTGGCAAATATCTTGCCTCTTAATTACAGAATAAATTTCGTCCGTAACACAGGCCTATCGGACTTTTAAGATTAGCTGGAAAAGTATTTTTTTACACTAAGTAGAAAGAAAGATTAATTTCGTTCGATTCTTTTCCCATGTGATTTGTCCAAAAAGGATGCGTCATTTTGTACATGGAACTTACTAGCAAACAGTTTATGTTTCATAATTCTTTTTGAACTGATAATGATCAAATTTAAAAAGAACGCCAATTTTCCCTCTTTGGGGAAAATACCTATAGACGTATAATAAAGGGACGCAGATAGGGTGAGCGTTGATATCGAAAGGGATTAATTTCGCAATCGGTTTTCTATTGTTTGATTGGTCAAAAGAAGTCGCTCTATCCTTCTTTACTAATCAGGCTCGGCCAGCAAAGTAAACCAGTCTTAGCTTTTTCCCTCTTGGTGCCGGTAACATGCATTTGCCTCCAAAATTTGATGGCGATCATGATGATGATTATTGTTTTCTAAAACTGTCTACTATAGAATAGAGCGATTTTCGTATGACTTTGAAATCACATAAAAACGCACGCACAAAACAGAAACAACAAAAGAACGGAAATAGAGCGATTTGATTGGTTTATCGAACGGATACAAACGCGCGTGGCTTTTGGTTGGTTAAGCGAACTCTCGGGTTAAGAAAACTTTATGCCCGAGAAACTTTCTAGAAATCATTCGATACTTCGCTTTACCGTCATACTGAAACACGATTAGCCAATCGAACAATGCCTTCTTCATATTAGGTTTTTCTTAGGCCGGAAAACAAAGAGTCCATGTTTTGATCTTTTCATCCATTGGCTGATATAAAAGACAAAATACCGATCACTTATCGAAACCATTTTTCAAGGTCATACGAAAATCGCTCTATCACTAAAAAGCCCAAACCGTTCTTATAAATATTAAAATTTACTGGTCCATTCACCCTATAAATGGACAGCAATGAATCAACATTGTGTCAATTTTAACAGATTCAAGGTTTACCTCCAAAGATCAGTACTAAAGAAGAACTCTGTGATATTGTAACCCGGATCATCTCACAACTGAGCCTCCAACACGCCACAGTCAACTACCCGCTATCAGACTATGCTGAGTACACTCCTAACCTACCAACGAAGCTGTACAATGACACCAGACTGAAGGAGGGGGAATTCTCGGTTCTCCGACTGCCAAACAGGAATACTTCTGTCGTAAGTTTATCAATTAGCAGGTTCCGTTGTTGGTTAAGTGTGTTTGAAGTTGCTGGGCTAAAAGTCATAATAATATTGTAGTAATCAAATAGCTCACGAATACAGCTTTAAAAAATGCCTCCTCTGGCTTGTCCCCAATCTTCTCTAATCCTTTGCAGGATCGGAGACTACTACAGCATCTCTGCAAAGGGGATGATGGGAAGCGAAGGGGAAAAGGAAGAGGCTCCGCATTTCCCTTCTTCCCATTTTCCACCGCGGCAATCTTCAATGCGCTACAAGCCATGAAATCTCAGAACAAATATGAACAATGTTGAATATTGAACCCATCGAACATCGACTACCTTTCCGTCATGTAAAACACATAATACATTTATTAAAAAACTTTTTTCATATAAAAATGCAAAATTTGGCTAACAAAACTTGGTTGCCATGGTAACGTTAATGTAAACATACACGTTACGAATTGCTTAGTTTAGCGATAATGGTCATACTAATTGAACGCCGTTTTCTTTGAACAGTCAGAGACTTGACAGTTAAATATGTATATATATGAAAACCTTCAAAAATTCAGAACAAAATATATATCTTACGCCATCACTTTAAAATGTCCGTAGAATCTAAGAGGGCATTCATCCAACTAATTTCCTCTGGTTTCTCTTTTCTTTTTATTTAGTATGTTTTATTTTATGATTATGATTATGATTATAATTATGATTATTATTTTATCATCCGCTACATCAACAACTCCCTCCCTACACTTAAGAATATGGCAAGATGGGGATTATCACAAAGCCCTGATTGCTCCTTTTGCCTTAATCCTGAATCACTCCTTCATGTTGTCGCTGGTTGTCAACAGTACCGTGATCGCTTTACCTGGAGACACGACTCAATCCTTAACTTCATTGCCAAGTCACTTCAACCTGTAATTAATGTTCACTCTTCACTCTATGCAGATGTTAATGGTTTTCTGAATAATAATAATAATAATAACTGGTGAAAATTGTCGTCCAGATCTTCTAACCTTAAAGAAACCTTAAAAACGAAAAATATCTGAACTTGATCAACGAAATGAGTAGAAATTAAAGATATGTGAGATTTGTAAATCTCTCCATGAGCTCATTTGGCGTTTTCTCCGATGAATGCTCCACGTTCTTAGACATGATGAATGACATTGGCATTGACAAAAAGCAGCAACTTTATATAACCAAGAAAATGATAAATATAGCCATTAGAGCAACATATTACATCTTTTGTTGTAGAAATAGGAATTGGGATAGCCCAGACTTAATGCAATTTTGATTTCTTTTCTTTTCTTTCTTTTCTTTTTTATTCCTTTTGTTTTGTTTTGTTTTTATGAATAATCCAATCTCAAGCTGCATTTGTAAATTGGTTATATGTAGCGAGATTTACAATTGCATATTCAAAAACACAAATAAAAGTTCCAATATTATTATTAATAACTTTGTTTCTTTTTAATATCAGGGACGGATAATTCTCTTTTGTAAATGACTGTGGACTGCCTGCAAGAGTTATTGATCGCATTTCGGAAATCGTTATTGACAGAATGACTGTATTTTTATGATTTATATAATTCTTAATGTTATATAGTGCTTTTCTTAAGGAAAATATTTCTTAAAAATTGAAAGTCGAATAAAAACGACATTATTTTAATTATCGTTGGACTAAATGAAGAAAAGTGGCTTGAATAATCCCGGTTTCAACCTCCAACTGTAATTTCGACCTTGTGAACTCAGTTAATAAATCATTTCACGTTTTAATTCTTTTTTCAGGTCGAAGCCAGCTTCAGTAACTCCCTGGCGTTATACCGTTTTGACACTTTATTTGACTACGGCAACAACCTTGAGGACATCAAAGCTGTCAATCTTATCAACGAATATTACAGCTACCTCATGTACAATGTTCAACCTAAGATGCAAGAAGTGAATGAAGAACGAAAGGAAAGAGGTGATCTGACCTACCCCTACCTTATCCCAAGATGGATACCTAATGGCATTCAGACCTGAACAATTTTCCAACCATATTAAGCGAGTAGAACACGACACTAGTTTGATTTTTTGTTCTTCTAGTAAGCTTAGGAGGCAGCACATTCTGATGCACTTTTTACTATCCCAGAAATGCAAGTTTTGCAATTGAGATTCATATCTATCTTTTGTTAAGTTAGTTTGTTACACAAGAAAAATCAAGCCATTAAAAAAGGTTATCATAATAATTGTATGTTGTTCCTGTGTAATTACTGCTGAGGTGAAAACTAGTGGTCGGATGTAAGTTTAAAGTGTGCTTCCACTTCATTTTAATATGTTTTCGTAAAAACGTCTTTTGCTCGTGAAGCAGGCCATCGCTGTTGGAACCAGAAATTTTCGGATCGTAGAGTGGTGTTCTGATCTGGTGTTAAGGCTAAAACAGCAACTCCCGCGCTTCTCTGTTATGCTCCTCAAGTCCTTCACTTTATTCTCACCCAATGCCTAGCAAAACTTTGCTAATATTTCGTTTCTATGGAGATACATGTACACCGTCCCACATCCAAACAGGCTTAATTATATCGAAAAGAAAGCTAAAGAACGCGATCAGACAACAGGCTCGGATCTTTAGCACGCTTCCTTCGGAGCCTGTTCAGCTCCCTTGGGCAGGTTGGGTCCCCAACGAAGAACACCACCACTCATATCAGGACACCCCACAATACTGCTAATTTCCTTCTGGGCGTTTATCGGTTAAGTGTAATTATTACGGACCATTTTATCCGTTATTGGACTGTTCAGGCAAAATGAAATACATCGTTCTTAAAAAAATAGTGTGCAGTGAAGTGCACTTGGTTTTACGCAACCATGCGTTTGGTTTTATGAAAAGTGTTTCTTTGTAAGACGAGAAATAATTCAATCGATAATATAATTCAAAGCTTCTTTGGCTATGAGGCAACTCAAAAATCTCAAGATCTCATTTTTGGTATCGGTCGAAAAAATAACAAAAACCGCTTCAACTCCTTGCAAAGAAAATGTTATGAGCGTTCTGTCATAGCCTCAGCTCAAAGTTTGTCATTAAACAAATACGATGTCTAAAGCAGCGAGACTCAAACGACGCTTAATTAAGCGCCAAATTTCCACTTCAGTTACCTCTGATAAAAGGAGGCGTTCACTGTTCTTCTCTAAAACGGATACTAACAAGTTGGGCAAAATGGCGAGAGGTAAACAAAACAAGACAATAGAATTAGCGCATATAGCGCGTAGCGTTCTACTATCTATTTCACGGTTCAAGTAAAATCACTCTAATACCCTTCTATGTTTACTATGCCAGCCACCTTAGCCTGATTTTCAGACATCCGAGGTCGTTCGCGGTCCCTTCGCTTCTCTTTCTCGGACCGTCCGAGCATCAGGCTACCTTAATATAAATAACGTGAAAAACTGCTCTTGAATTTAAACTCGGTTTCCCCGGTAGATGGTAGACTTGACTATTTATTTCAAACAACTTTTCTTATCCCGAAAGCCTAGTCACAGAATACGCCTTTACTTTTTCGTTTTTTTTTTCGGCGAGCGAAGACAAGCGCGAAGCGGGCGTAGGGCACGAGTTACGTATACGCGTGACTGTCTGCGTTGAGACTACCGAAGTCTTGCCTATAGAAAACTAGACGCATCGTCTTAAAAAATTCAGAGCGTCCACAAATTAACAGACACAAACGACGCTTCATTAGTCTGGATTCGAAATTTCCATTTGAGTAAAGAGACTCAACATTAACAACAACAACAAAACGAGAGGTGTTGTTCCTTGTTCTTGTCTTAAATAAAAGTGATTTTTAAAAAACTTTTAACTGTTGAATTAAGATTTTAATGTCGCCAAAATGCATAAGCAGATTTTTTTGGAGGAAAACTTGATCCCGAAACTGCTCTTTTACAACTAATTTTAAAAAGCATTGAGTGGGTCCGAAATCCTAGAGTATTTCGTATTTTTAAAGCCTTTACGATTTTGGCATTTCAATAGAATCAACGCAGTTCTACCTTGTTATCCTTTAACGAAAGATGATTTTTGCAATAAAACGATCGGAATTAAAAAGCTATCGAATGATGCTTGTTCAAAGAGAAGACACATTACATTGAATCACCAAATTACTATTTTTTCTGCCTTTTTAATCAAGTTAGCCGAAAAACGTTTCGATCATGTTAAAAGTACCTGATATCTTGAGTGCTCATTTTTATAGATAAAGCCCATTACACAAGAGGCATTATGGAGCCCTGCATTTTGGTTAAACTAGCGAGGCAACTAACGCCGCCTTCGAAACCAAACGCATTGTCGCGGAAAAGCATTCAATAAGTTTACAAACACAAAAGACGCTTAATTAAACTGAAAATTTCCACTTCAATTAGCTCTGATACAGAAAGACGCGTTTTTCATTGATCGAGGCTAAGCGATTTGAAAACCTTCCTTTACCACTCAGACTTTTAAATAATACCTTTCATGTCTTTGAGCCAATATTAATTTTACTTTCATTCGTGCCGAGTTAGAACAGTAAAACGTGGATACTCTTCCGAATATAAGTATTTTTTCAACTCTACCCGTGCTTTTTTAAGTCTAAGTGATGAGAGTATTCAAAGTAGCTTGATACGAAGCATAAGACTTATTTTAAAGCTGGCTAAAGCACTAAACTATTAATTACCATAGTTGTTTTCAAATAGAAAGGGGCGTAGCCAAATTTTAAGACGCCAACATATTGAGTTTTGGCGAAGAGGGTTGTGCAGTGTACGACACGGAAGAGGTTTAGTTATCTAGTTCTTCTTGGTCAGTTCAGAGAAAGAAACGCTACCTAACAATAAGAATCCTTGTGAAAATTTGCAAATTTTATTTTATTTAAATATTTTTATTCTGTTATCCGTGGAAATAGCGGCAATGACATGAACTCTCAGTGTTTTCACTTTCTTAAGTCGGGGGCTGTTGTATAAAGCGACGAGATTTTTTAATAAAGGTGACCCTTTGTTAAGAGTATTAACTGAGTTAAGCATGTGGAAAAAACGTAAACTATTAAATGGACTGAATGGAAGTACTTTACTCCAGTTGCTTCTGCATCTCAGGGTGTTAACAACCGCGGTCATTTCTGAGCTCTAAAGGTAAGTTCAAGTAGCTGCCATTGTTTGATGATGTTCTTTTCCGGAAAGAGAATATACATGCACTGTAATCGAAAACTATGTTATCTTTGCACCTGTGTGAAATCCTAACTTGTCTCTTTTTGATAGATAGTATTAGTAGCTTAGTAAGCGGCAATTCTGTGTTTACACGCAAAAGAGGGTGCGGCCTGAACTCTTCTTTTGTGTCCTAGACTGCTAGAAATCGTACACAAACGTGAGGTCTGCTACCCTAAAAAAAATTTGTTTATTATAGGATTATAAAATATAAATATATAGAAAACTTGGGATTCGATAATCAAAATTGTTCTTGAATTTTAATAAACATCTCTCGAAATAAGAAACAACACAACCGTACTGTGCTTTCAGCTGGTAATGCAGTTTGCCAATACCAGGTGGCAATCCTGAACACATGGTAACTTTGCAGAAAGTATACTTCATTTTTACCCGCAAAAAAATTATTCCAGGTACCTTTTCTTTTTACTTCTTTTCTTTTTTTTTACATTTTTTTTTGTAGGCAGTTCTCCTGAAACTCAAAGACTGCAGAGTGATATTTTCAGTATTTCAGTAGCAAGCTAAAGCGTCGCGTTCAGACAACGAGATTTTGAGCTTCAGGATGAAGATGTTGATCATTATTGTCCTGATAGCTTTAGTGGGAGGCAGTGTTGCAGTTTCAAGGTATAGGATTATAACACAATTCTTGCTATTGAATTTTTTTAGTTTATTTATTCGATATCAATACAATCAAAAGATTTACTTGACTATTTTTCATATTACTTCTCTACAAAACGGTTTTCAAGTATCGTTAAAAACAGCGTTAGAAGCAAACTACTTTTCTGTAAAGGGGCTGCGTTAGGGCTGTTTATATCCAGCGAGCATGCGTAGAGACTTCGTGTCTTCTTTTTAATCTACGAGGAGAAAAGGAGATTCTGCTTGAATCACGTCAAGCCTATGAAGCTACCGCAGCCCAAATGTTTAGACTTGAGTCAATCCTGTTATCTCTCGTCAAAGCTGGTTTTTCGACTGTGAGCATTGTTTATTGATAAACCGTACATAATATTTGAGCCCGCTGAACCAAGCGCATGGCTATTAGGCCTGGGTTGAAAACTATATCCCAGCAAACTACTCGATTCATGCAAAATCAGTTTTTCGGGTACGACAAAATCAAGCCATGCAAGCGAACGAAAGAAAAACTCGCTTAAGAAATTACTATTTCAGTTGTAAATGGCAATGGCAGAAGTTTGTCAAACAAATAATTGCCTGATCTCCCAAGAATAATATCAAATAATATAAAAAGTTACAAACAACAAAAATGAACTTTGACAAACTTTTAGGCAACCCCGAGCTTAATAGCCACTATTGCAATCCGTTCCAATCTTTTCCAAGTTTGTCAAATTTTCCTCCTTTTGTATTTACCATGCTATTTTGATTTTTTGAGCGTTTATTTCTGTGTTTCACTCCATTCGGTGGCAGTTCCGGATATCATATACCGTTTGAATTTTGATAAATTTTGTGACACAGCTAATTGACCACAATGGTTCAATGGCTGGTCGCTTCACGATACCCACTATATTCCACATCAAAATATGTACAATAGGGCCCACTCCTTCTACAGCAATTTGCGCAAACTAGTCTTCACAGGGAAGACCAAACAGGTAAAGGAAATAACTGAAACAGAATGTTGGCTATGTGTTTAAAAAAAAATCCGTTTTGTTTTAAAGGCAGAATAGCCTAATGAAAATCACAAAACGGCGGAATGACTGATTTACAAACGGTACTTTCCTTGTGTTATCTGCATGCTGCATCTCTTTCCTCCACCAGCTGCTGTATCTCCTTTTGGATAATTTTGACAATCACTGCTTTTTAGCTTGAAGCTTTTTATGTTTGTGTTGTTGAATTCCTTCATTTTCATTTCCTGCCAATTACACAAAATATTTTAGAAAAATTATTGTTTACATTTTGTTGAATTTCTATGCTTTGCTTCAAAAATATTCCAGTGCTACATCCCGCAAATAAAAGAGTATTTAGTAGTCCGGAAAATAAATAGAGAAAAAAAGTACTAAACGAAGCCATGAGAATGAAAGACTGAAGTATGCATCCACTGATTCTAATAGTAAAAAAATTCCTGTTACCCTAACAAGACATTGCAATCTTTTCGCAGTTCTTCGTCTATGAAAAGAGATGAATCTCGAGGGAGCGATGTCAAAATTATACCATGGCCAAAGATGCCAAACATTACCGTCAACAAGAAACTTTTACAAGCAGCTGAACTGTAAGTACCATTGTCATGTTATCTTATCTATGCCGAAAACAGACCAATTTTCGTGAATAATTAAACTAAAATAAAAAGTTGCTCCATTGGTCGAGTAGACTACGAGTAGTCCCCATTTTCCCTCGGGGATAGTAGAGCGAGCGAAACGCGATTGCGCGTGAAAATCACCCTACGCGAGAAAGCCAAGACGTGCCTTTCTCGAGTGGGGTGGTTTTCACGCGCTCTCGCGTTTCGCTCGCTCTACTACCCCTGAGGAAAAATGGGGACTACTCGTAGTCTTTTGGTCGAGCACCTAGGTTCCAATAAAACCCATTCAATGGGCATAAATCGGCACGGAAAGAGGACTGACAAACAGCCTAAGCGAGGTTAGCTAAATCACCTTTCACATTCGTCGGCTACTTTCCCGATCCCCGGGACTTGGGCCACCTGTGCTTTCATCTAACAGTCCAGGCTAGAATTTAAAAGCATTTTAATGTGAAAGGGTGTCATAACGAATTGCTTCCCATCTCATATTGTCCACATCAAAAGCGTGGCCATTAATAATACCCGGTTCTGCAGAGATACGAGTCGGTATCATCTAAGCTGATTAGGTATTTAATTGCTTTTAAGGTATTTGTTGACTCGTCAATGTGAGATCTCACTTCCTCAGAAGACCAGCCGTGCTTGTAGAACAAAGAGGTTTCAGGAACTTAGCAAAAAGAAGAAGACATGGGATTTACAGAAAAGCAAGTGGGGATTCGCTCTGCTGGACGTGGAGGATCCGTGGTCCTTCATAGGTAGAGCTTTTATCGATCCATTTAGAAGATTCTACATAGAGGGATATCTTCAAACTGTTCTTGTGAGCGATTTAAGTGGGGCCATCTACAGAGGTCTGGTCAACAATGTTACAAAAAAGGAAATTAGCCACAACTATAACTACCAGGTTTTGTCAAAGTACCTCGAGTTGGCTGCCAAACTTGGAGGGGTAAGCTTTTTTTGTTTTGTTTTTCATGTTTAGTTTTTGTTTGCTTGTTTGTTTTTTCTTTTTGTTAGCCATTTTTTTAAGACAAAAAATAGCAAATTGTTTCTAGGTAATAAAAAGGAACTCAAGAAAAAACAGTTATGATTATACCCGCCTCCCTCGCGCCCCGGGCGAGCTTAAAGAATTATGGTGGTAGCACATTGGAATCTGAAGTATGGTTGTGGAGGAAAGGGAAATACCTGAGCCCCCAGAGAAGAAAAGATAACAAACCCAACCTGCATAAAGCTGTCTGTAGTGTCCGTTCATCTGTGTGTCTGTACATTATTCTGTCTGTCTAGTTTCTGCCTGTCTGTCTGCCTTTCTGGCTACAAACAGCCTCATCCAATACAGCTCTTAAATATCTCAAGCTTGCATGCCGTGGGGTCAATTATGAAAATCATTTAATAACTCAAAAATTCATTCGTTTCATAAGAATATATACATAAATATTCTCATATGGTTAAGAAATATTAACTTTAAAAGTATTATAAAATCTCGAATCCTAAAGTTAACAGTAAGCTAACAGTAAAAAGAACCTAACGGTCATTGACAAATAGATGTAGTAGATGTTCGTTTTCGTGAAGAAGCTAAGGTAACCACAGATAAAACAGGCTTATGCCCAAGAAGATTTCTAAAACTCTTGCGAATGTTTTTGTTGTTGTTATTGTACGGGTTTGTTTTAGGAGGTTGCGATGCGAGCGTCCCAATACGAACCCTTTATTGATGACAAAAAGGAATGGATTAGTGACAAGTACTTCACTCAACAACGTTTCGCAGGAGTCAATCCAATGTCTTTAAGACGAGTAACTTTCCATGCCGTCTCTGAAGGTCAGTGATTTCCTTTGCCTCTCTGCCTCTATTGTTCACGGAAACGAGAATTAAGCAACACTAAATTCAAGGAACAAGGGATGGAACTCTTAAGTAAAATAGTCTTGCTGGAAAACTTTGAGTAGGGGTGTAAAATAATGAGTTATATTATTTCATGTCATTCAGTTTCACTTTCATACATATATGTCAATCCCTCAGAACCGATAGGACTGGATTGGAACAAACTTAAGGAAAAGCTGAACCCTGATTTTGACTGGGAAAGTGCTGTTCAAAGAGCCTTGGGTAACGAAGAGGCGATACAGGAGGTGTGTTTTCTTATATTTGTTAGCATTTGCTGCTCATTTTTACTACACTAAGTACATTAACTACTTGAACTTTAAGTACGATTTAATAATTTAATTCCGCTTTTGTTTCTCACTATTCCTTGACTACTTTTTAGGTTATTACGCAGGGTCGCATTTATGCCCTTCGTTACGAGCTGTGCGACGACTTGCCCAAAGAAAAGGACCTCACGGATAGTGATCCAAAAAGGACCATGTGGAACACCCTTTCTCCAATTGCTCTGTTTGTATCTACACCGGACTTTGTAACGGAACATAATAATCTTGTTCCTGTGGCTATTCAAATGGACCACACCCCCGGTACAGGACATTTTCTTTGGTCTTCTGCCAACACTTAATTTACCTACCGTAAACGTATGCTTGTAAGCCCACTACCCCACAAATAAGCCCTCCCCCCCTGATATAGGCCCAACTACCTGTAAACAAAAATATACATACAATTATAAGCTCCCATCCGAAGTGCTTAAAAAGAAAGAAAAGAAGAGAAAGAAAAAAATGCTTTCACAAAAGTTAGTAAGACGAGTTGGTATTGCGTTAACAAGTCTGGCTAAAAAAAAAATAGAAATTGCGCTGGTCACTGAAAAAATGTGATCTGTTTTTTTGCCTGCAGGTCATGTGATGTTCTCAAGGGTATTTGCCTTTGCTTCTGCTAAACAAAGCTTACATATGCACGTGAAAAAGTAGAAATTTGACAGAAACAGTTCCCAAAGGAACAATAACATGGCATTCACTTGGGAAAATGTAACTGATAAAAGCTAAAAAGATTCACAAACCACAGAACACAAAAGAGGAAAAAGAAACAATACAATATTTGTTGAGCTGTTGACTTGAATTAAACTAACATAGTTTTTTTCTTCTTCTTCTTTCTTCTTTCTCTCTTTCCTTTTCTAGACTCAGCGGTTTTTACACCCGAAGACGAAGGCAACTGGATGATGGCTAAACTGAACGTTCAAGTCACAGATCTTGGATACGCACAAATAGTAGAACATCTTGCTAAGGTAGAATGATAAAATTATTCTCTAATAGATAATCACCTCTACCAAAAATTGAATTTTAGTTTTTATTCTCGCGTCAGGCTTAGCGTGTGAAGGTGAGAGGTTTGGCATCCTTACCTATGTTAGTTGAGTGTAATGGGTTTTCAATGTCTTACTTCTACAATTTTGGGTGATAAATTTCTCTGAATATATCAACTGTACTAAAACAACACAAGATTAAATCTTTTGGAACGATTGCTATTTAGATGTTAGTCCAGCTTCTCTCCTATTTTTGTCGTTATCTATTGATTGGTTTGGATTTTTAGAGGATGCGCGAAGCGCGCGCAAGCGGAACAAGAAAATTTGACTGATGACTGATTTTGGTACTGTTGACTGATTTTGGTACTCATGTGACCGTCCGTCCATCCGCATTGCAGGGAACCTTTGTAATTTCTCACACTTTCCGAGCTAACTAGTGAGGGAGCCTGCAACCTGATATGGCACATCCATAGTAATGAATTGACAGCTGTCAAAACAGGGTATGCGCTAACCGGCATCGAATGATCGTATCGTGGGCTAAGGTGGAGGAGAAGCAAATGCCTACAACAATGACTATTCCGAACCTCTGGCTCTTTTCTACCTTTATTACTCTCTTGTTTAAATAATATATTAGGAGTACAATATGTTTCTACCGATTAACCATTTGATTTGGAGGTTTACGTATTCCTGTTGTTCAAGGTTCATTTCCTGATGGAACCATTCTGTGTTGTACTGCGACGCACTTTATCTTCGCGGCACCCGTTGTATCAAATACTACAGTATCACTGTCGAGATGTTACAGTACCGAACACAATCGGAGCTCCTGTCCTTGTTGGCGAAGGAGAATATATGGATAAGCTGTTTGCATTTGGAAATACTGGAACTGATCAACTTTTGAGAGATGCACACCCATTATCCACATGGGAAGTCACAGATTTTAGAAACGAGTTAAAGGTGCGTTATTGTGACGACTTCCAATTCTTTTAGTTTATCACGGTAAGTTATGCCAGCTCGCTGTCTCACCTAATCCAAGCCTGTGATGCTTGTGCATAAAATAGTGCATGTCTTGGTATTTAGCCAAAATAAGCCAAAGCCGCCAAAATGAGCGAGATAGTAAATGTATAAAATCTCCTTCCGGGGGACTGGGCACGAGACAGATAAACTACCTTGAATGGAATACCGCAACGCTCAAAACTGTGAAGGAATATTGCAAAAAGATAGCAATTAGATATGGCAACCAAACTGCCTGGGTCTTTGTCAAACAATTTTAAAGTTGACTTCTCTTGTTTGTAACTTTCAATCAATGATTTTTGAGACAGTAAATACGTCATTTCGTAATTCCCAAGTTATCTCTTTCGTAAGCTTTCACGGCAATTTAGCAGCAAAACTGAAAAAAATATGGACTAATTAAGTGTTCATCCTTGTATATCAATCAAGCTTCTTATTCCCTCCTCATCTATTTGCTTATTTGCTTATTTCCGGTCATTTAGTTCAAACTCCGTCCCGATGACTCGAATTTTTTTCGATTTCCCTAGAAGGTTCGACTATCGGGAGTCGACTGCATTTCACTATTCATTTTTCCTCTATTTATTAGAAACGCGGGGTGGATGATAAGGATCTTCTTCCATACTTCCCCTACCGAGACGATGGGGAGAAAATCTTGGAGGTTATTGAAAACTTGGTGAAAGGATACGTAGACTTGTAAGTACAAAAAATTATGAAAAGGTAATTATTAAGCCAAGCCTACAAGCGGAGCTGTATTAAATACTTTCAATATTTTTTCTCCAGTGTCTGGTTGCCCCTTAATTTTTTCCCATTCCCACGTTAATGAAATAATAGGAATAAAACCAGTAAAGTTTTTGTGAAAGTGATAATAATAATAATGAAAACCTTTCCACTACTATACTAGCTGGCGGATGCAAATTAGGTAAAGGAGCATTTCTGTCCAGTTAATTGAATTATTGCATCGCTTTTATCGTATTTAAGGTATTATTACGACAATCAAGACGTTAAGAATGACAAGGAATTTGGTAATTACCTCAATGAATTGTCCATTGATGGAAAACTGCTTTCATTGCACAGCCGCATTGGAAGGGTAAGTTTACAGAGTGTTATTATATTAGATGTTGCTTAATTGTCTCTTCTGTAGAACCTACTAACTGCTGTACTACTAAGGTAGGCAAAATGGTCTTTTCCCCCCGGAGACTTTCTGTGATACTTTCTTGCCTCTTGCTGTGGCGAAATATTGTGCCTCGTACTAAAAGAGTTTCTGGCTATTTAACTCTGCCTCAGGAAATCTTGAGTAAGGAGCAGACTTGCGGAGCTGATCGCAATTAGACAAATAAGAAGGAAGAAAGCTACTCAAGTGCAATTTCATGGATAAGAGCTAAAGTATCTTTCGCCATCGTACGCTCTGCGATACTATGCTTGAGAGGCTCAAGATCTAGAAGAAGACAGCTAGGGCGCGATCCATTCAACCAACATTTCCGGAAATTTCGGTCCAAAACTCAATGGATCGGTTCGGGTCCAACCGGAAAAGTTTCGAAAAAGCTGGTCCACCTTTTGAGGTGGTCCTCTTCTCCCGGTCGGACCGTTCTGAATTTTGGTTGAATGGATCGCGCCCCTAGACTTTGTTGACTCAGACCTACAGCTCGATAATATTAGAGCCTGTCCGAATTAATCTTTTTAAGGATCGTTTTTTAAAGAAGTAGGAATTTGGGAATACGAGATTTTATTCTTTTTAACTTGTTTTCTTTTTAATATCAGAGACTGATAATTCTCTTTTGTAATGACTTAATTTAAAACTCTGGACGAGTCAAGAGTCATGATCATTGACCGCATCTGAGCCGCAAGGAATGTATTTGCGAAATCGTTATTGACACTATGATTGCTATTTTTATGATTTATATAATTCTTAATGTTATATAGTGCTTAATTCTTACTTCAAATATTTCTGTAAATTATATTATTATTATTATTACCCAGAGGGTAATAAAATTACTATTTTTATTTCCTTTGGTTATAGATTCTTAGACTCTCTACTCTCATTAAAAAATCCGCGCTTAAAAAGATCTTCTGTTCCAAAGTCAAATTTACTGATGTTCATCAGAAGCCTGAGCTCCTGCGTTTATACATGAAGAGCCGCATATATATGAATCACCATCATGTTAATTGTTAATTTTAACAGATTCAAGGGTTACCCCCAAAGATAAACACTAAAGAAGAACTCTGTGATATTGTAACTCGGATCATCTCACAGCTGAGCCTTCAACACTCCACAGTCAACTACCCGCTATCAGACTATGCTGAGTACATTCCTAACCTACCAACGAAGCTGTACAATGACACCAGACTGAAGGAGGGGGAATTCTCGGTTCTGCGTCTGCCAAACAAGAATACATCTGCTGTAAGTTTTTCATATTAGGTGTGTTTGGCGTTATGCCGGACTAAAACATTGAGTCGGTCAGTGTAGTTCTAAGGAACCGTTCATTAATAATCGGCTGAGGGAAAATTAGGGGGGGGACATCGAAAAAAAAATTAAACAAGGAGGAGGGGGATCCCAAAATTGCTTAGTCTTATGAGGGGGGGCGGGGAGGAAAAAATAAACTTGTTTTTAAATCTTTTATTTCATCAGATTATCCTTATCAAAGACATTAACATTTTAGTTAGAATATGATCTTACTTTCAGTCTTTGCAGCCATTTTCACTACCTTCTGTGTCACTGCAAGTGTTATTATCTCCATAGGGTTATTCTCCACTAATAAAAGATACCTTCGTTTTATTCCTGGTTAAATTAGGTTGCCGGAAAGGTGAAGGTAGGAGGGGGGCGGGGCTCTGAAATATATCTAATGAAAATGGGGGAGGTGATGCAAAAAAAATACAGTCCATGAGGGGGGGGGGAGGCAGTGAATTTTTGGGACTGCTTAATTTTCCTCCAGCCCACCTCTATTTTTAATTTGTTGTCTCTTACTGTAATGAAGGTAAAGTACATACAGTATTGCAAAAGCTATTTACAAATATTTTTTAAGAATAAGAATTGACATTTAATCACCGGACAATTAAACTACTTTGATAATAATTCGTCGTGTAAGTCAGAGCAAGCTGAAATATATTGTATATCAATAGTAGTTAGATGTGTTCATTAGTTCATTGATCAAAACATTCACAGTTAACTGGCATGGATAATATTTGGAATGAGAATCTTTACTTTATTGTAAAAATCATTCCTAATCAAGAGTACTTCTTCTATTTGATTGCATCTAGACCTACAAAAAGGGCAATTCCTATTATCTCTGGTAGATTGATTGTATCCACCAAGTTCTATAATTAGTTCGTGGTTACTTATTCATAACTTTACTAATTTCTTTCTCGTCACTCAGCTGTTCCTCTGGTTAAGTAATTAGAAGGGTATGATCCCTTTTAAAAGATCTAAACATTCTAGTTTTTGAGAGTGGTAATGGGTGTTTTGGCAATGGGATATATATTCTTGTTAGCGTCAGCAGGACTGAGTCATTTGCGGCAAACTTTAATTTATTCCACGTTTTTGTCAGCCAGTCTCGGCTATTAAGTTTTTGAAGGTCTGTCAGTAAAAAAATGTCAAAACAAAATCAAGAATAAAAATATTTTTTTTCAATCGATCAGCACCCATGTCCAAGGAATCGAAGAACGCCTAATACATCCAACTAATTTGTTCTATTCTTTTAGTTCAAGTTTTGTTTCGTGATTTTATTTGATGTATATTTTTTGGTGCCCCACTATAAGCTGCCACAGCCCGAACAATTCTTTGATTCACTTTAACGAAGTGCTAGCGCTTTTATTCTTTTAACTCTTTAATGGACAGCCATTTCACCTCTTAATTTCCAGATCGAGGCCAGCTTCAGCAACTCGCTGGCGTTATATCGTTTTGACACCTTATTTGACTACGGCAACAACCTTGAGGACATGAAAGCTCTCAATTTTATCAACGATTATTACAGCTACCTCTTGTACGAAGTTCAGCCTGAGATGCAAGAAGTGAATGAAGAACGAAAGGAAAAAGGTGATCTGACCTACCCCTACCTTATCCCAAGATGGATACCTAATGGAATTCAGACCTGAATTATTTGCCAACCAGATTAAGCGAGTAGAATGCTCGTCATGAGTTTGTTTGTTTGTTTGTTTGTTTGCTTTCTCGATCTTTTCTGAGTAATCTAAGGAGAAAGCAGTCTCCAGTGTTGGCAAGTTTCACTGTCCAGATGTGTGCAGAGCCTGGCAATATAGTAGTAGTAGGCTGGGATATTTGAGAAGTGTTGAAAACCTTTTGAGATAGTTATCTGTTTGTAAGTTAACTTGACACAAGAAAAGCTCGGTAGGCCATTAAAACAAAGGATCTCTAGTAATGTTCCTATGTAGTTTGTTTCGAAGTGAAAGTTATGCCGGTTGGACGTGCTTGATTTTCAACCAGTTTCCGTGAGAAAGCCGTTTGCTCGGCAATAACTTGTTGAACATGGGAGACTTCCGAGTGTCCCCACGATCATAGTCCGCCGAATGATTTTTACAAAGTTAGGGATGTTCATTAGTTCTGTTAGTTTGACGACACCAGTGACCTGTTCTATTTTTTAGTATTTTGTTTGAATAAATGGTGCATTCTTCGTTTGAATACCTTGGCCCCTCTTAACACGGACCCTCAGGTCATGCCGACCTGTCTCCTCTCTCCGTCTCCTGGCTTCTCAGAGTCGGTGATGTTACACACGGGGCGATTTGCAACGACTAGTGTTAGCGCAACACAGCGTAACAACATTGTTGCCACATCGTTTCGAAACTGGGCTGCAACATTGTTCCAACATTGAACCCTGTGTTGCGCTAAAAAAGGTGATGTTACACGGGGCGATTCGCAACGACGATTTTTAGCGCAACACAGCGTTGCAATGCTGGAACAATGTTGTAACCATTCGAAACAATATCGCAACAATATAATGTTGCAACGCTGTGTTGCGCTAAAAAGGGAGCTTAAGCAACAACGACGGCGACGGGTACGAAAACGTCACTTAAAAGGTGAAGTCGATGCTTGAAATTTTATCATGCTTATTCCATGTCGTTCAATTCGTAAAATGTTGGCCACTATTTCTGGAGTTAAATGCTTAAACTCTGTATCGAAGGTCAGGAAGGGAAAGAGAAAGCCATTGTCTTGTGTTCACGTCCTCCACAAAACGTGAAATTAGGCATTTTCACGTTGTTTGTAGTCGTGCAGTGGAGGCAAAGAAATGTACAAAAAAGAGTGATTTGTTTTGCAAAAGGGTGGATTCATTTGCAACACACGCGTACTGAGCTGTCGCATTTGCATGATCGCTGGAATTTTTTGTTATTTTTAGGTCGTCACGGCGGCCATGTTGGTAGTCAAGAAAAAAAGTATTTCCCTCCTCAACCTCGTTCCCAGGGTTCTCTTCTACCCGCCCTCCGTAGGGCGGGTAGGAGAGAACCCTGGGAACAAGGTTGTTCCCTGGAACTAAATTCTATTTTCGTCTAAATTCCACTATCTATATATTAAAATTCTAACATGACTCCGAGGCTTTCTGGTCATTTTTCTATATTTGGCTTGGTTTTCTTTGTGCTCAAGTCTCTTCTGGGAATAGGCCATTTGCACGATGGCGTCGTTTTACTACTAGGACCAGAATCCTGTAGGTTTTTCCTTTTTAGTAATTCCAGAGGGGTTTCAATAACAAAAGCCCTCATTTTCATTTGTCCTTAAAGCCTCGGAGTCATATTAGAATTTTTATACATCGAACGTGGGCTATTCTATTGTATTGACCCCCAACATGGCCTTGTCACGTGGTTGCAAACCAAGAATTAACCTGGCCAAAGAATACAGCCTTCTTTCCCCGCTCCATGTGGCGTAGCGAGGTGAGAGGTCTGTATTCGCAGTCGAGTTTCCCTCACTCCAGGGCCATGTTGCATAAAACCTTCGGAAGATAAGAGGGCTCTTAAATGTGGTTCTTTCAGGATCACATTAACGGCAAAAGTCAGGTTAATAGTTGACAGGTTCTCAAATTACTAAACCAGCATTAACGCCGCTCAGAGAAATTCTTGTGAACGAGAATGGTATGAAACTTGACTAATTATTTTCGTGTAGAGATGATAAACAGTAAACGAAAGGAAAAGGTAAAACGACCCTGGTCACGTACTAGAAATTGATACTTGCTGAGAAAATGGTTCTAAATATCTCAAATGCTATTATCCGATGAGTTGTAGGCAACTAAATGCCTCTTCCCTTCGCAGAGGTTTCCGCTGGGTATCTTAATAAAAATAGCAATAATCGAAAAATAGAAAGCGCGCCAGGCTCCCTTCGACACAAAGAAGCCTCTGCGGTGGAGAGAGACAGAATGCCTATAACGGCATAAATTCCACATTCCCTTGAACAACTGTTCCGGTCATTAAAAGTTGTTAGCGTCGAAATGCACCATGTAACAATTTCCGCGACGCTCTCAATCGCTTTTTTCATTGGCTATTGCAAATTCGCGCAGGACACTGGGTCAAAGTTCATTCCTCAACACAGTTCCATAGTCCTATTGGACACAAATACCGACTAAGTTTGATCCCAGTTGCATCCTAAAAAATGCCAATAGGGCGGTAGATAGAGCAGAGTAAATTAGGAGCAGTTCGTATAACGGAAAAAACAATAAGCTTGACCCAAAAATTACATTCAATTCTTAATAGGGTGAATTAAGTTTATTAATTCGCATCACAGGCCTTACAAGTATAAAATGCGCCCAAGTGGCAGACGCTAAATTACTACTGCATTTCCAAAGCGTCCATGAAAACAATATTGATCTTAAAGACATGCAATATATTATAGGTACCGTTGGCTGTATTGTTGCCTAGCATGTTCCTAAAAGGTTCTTTGCGATGGTGTGCTGTAAAAAAGAAAACAGGGGTCTAAAGAAAAGAGGTGCTGCTGTCAAAATCGAACCCATGAATCAAAATCTTCCGTTTTAAGGGTTTTCCAGGATTACATAACAACATCGGCACTAAGTGGATCGAATCAAAATATTGAAATCAGAGCCTGTTACCGAACTTGCTTAGTGCTACTCGCATGTCCATGTGCAACACGGCTACTCGGTTCTAGAACTCGCGTGAAATGCAACAGACAATTACGCCTCAGGCTAGCCTAGCTACTCAATTAACTTTGTTTTAAGACTTTGAGTTGTCTCTATATATGATTTAAAAACATTATTTTGGTGACAAGCGAGTCTAAGAGAGACAGTTTCAAACGCATGCACAACATATTAAAGGATCAGTCGGTATCTTTTACAGGGTACCAGTAGTATAGAATAATTTAGAAGATATCTTAAGTGAAAAGATAACAGCAGTTAAAGGAACTCTTTTCGGCGGTACATGTCTGGCTGATAAAATGACGTCACGACAACACGGTTGGCAAACTTCCGACCCGCAAGGGCCTGGGCAGCACTCTTTGACTCTTCAGGGGACGCAAACTCCACGTATATCTAGGGATAAAAAAAGAAAAAGAAAAAGAATGAAAGGGGTGAGTTGTTAAGGAAAGCGGGCTAGGTTGGTGTGGTTCATATTCATCTTATTTTACAGGCCGCCATTACGGTTCCTGGAGGAGGGTCAAGAGGTTACCCGTACACACGTATTACATACCATTCCTGAGCCACAAAACAAGCAGAACTATATTCAGAGCTCCAAAGCAAGTTCCTTCGTTGCCGTTTGGGACAATTACATTTTACTGCTGGCCAAGCAAGTTTAAGTTTACATTTACAGTAACCAAAAGGTCCGGGAAAATCATCCCGTAGTTAAATCATTAACCAAGACAAGCCAACGATGGCACCAAGCGAACAAAATGTGAGAACTGCTTATCCAAAGGACCAGCAATGAAGAACACATATTACTGCCCTTTAAAGGTGAAGTTACAAGAGACGACTGGCAACGACGATTTTCTTAGAGCAACACAGCGTTGCAAAGTTGGGAAAATGTTGCAACCATTCGAAACCATGTCGCAACAAAGTTGTAATACGTTAAAAATCGTCATGGCGAGATGTCACCTTAAGTGCTTGCCGAAGATGCACCGGTAGGAGATCACATCACGTGCCTAGTGGTTGCTTACAAAAGGTCTCAAAAACTGGGAAAAAGGTTAAATTATCACCCCAGATAGTGATCTTGGTTGTTTAGGTGAGAGGGTCGTTGGCTTGTGAGCACGCTATACTTCATGAGTGTCAAGCTAAGCGAGCCACGCAAGCGCGCGTTTGCGCGTGACTTCTTACGATACCCCCAAGATTGAGAGATTGCTCATAAGCTACAGGGCCATGTTCTAGAGTTCAGTCCACCATAGTGCTCTCTGACTCAAAAACAAAATTGAGGTTTGGCTGGTGAGTGTTCACCGCAACAAGGCAATAAAAATGAACCGTACAACTATAGTTTCTTGATAAAATTGCACAACAATTTGGTGGAAGGTTCCGCTTTACCTTTCCGCAGCCAGGTGGCTGAAAATCTTCTACAGGTCTTGGTATTTCCAGGCTCATGACTTTGCCATACTTTGAACACTCCGTTCGCACATCTTCATGGATTTCTGCAAGTAACAACGATTAAAAAATGAGCATACTGAGCCAATTGAGGTGAATGCACTAATAACAACCAGAGCTACAAACTATAAAGAGGAGCATGTCACTGTATAGCGCTACAAATAACATTTAAGTTATAAAATATATGGCCGGTTTATGTTCTAGCCAAAAAAGGGCAGAAAAATTCTGTTTGGGGCCTGAGAATTAAAGTATGTGTGCGTGTGTGAGAGGAGAGAAAAGGCGGGGCGGAGGGAGAGGGAGGGGGAACGAGGTCTCGGTCACACGATTGTTGTAGCACTTCCTTCTTTTGTCATTCTTAATTCCCTAGTTGGATTCTGAGTTAAACAACCTTCTCTAATCTGATTGGCTATCAAATCACGTGTCCTGAGCTCAGTATCAATAGTACGCCGTGATACAACAGTTCGCGTCATGCATAAGTAATTAGGGAATTTAAGATCCAACGACGCGGACGGCAACGAGAACGTAAAAATAACAAAAGGTTTTATTAGCAAAACAATAACTTTGCACGTACATCACGCTTGTTTGTACATTTCTCAGCCCGTTTTTGCACGACTACGACGTAAACATAAGCAAGTTCGCGTCTTATGGACTACGTAAACAAGCAACGACCAAATGTTATCTCTCTTTCTGAACTTGGATATGGTCCCTAGGAATTCAAGTCCAGGAGGGTTCGCCTACATTGGACAAAGTAAGTCGGTAGGAATAATTGCGATTAAGACTGAAAGAACGCAAATTCGTAACAGAACTTCGTGTCCTGCAATTCGGCCTGTACTTGTACGAATGATCAACAAAATCAGATGACGGCGTGAACTGGAGTCCACTCAATCTCAATCCTATTACCAGTAATCATCACGCCAGTTTTAAAATTTCTATGCTGTCCAGGCTACAGAGTAGTCTGCTACACAGCCGTTTTTAGTGTCATCACGCAACGCTCCTCCCCACAAACGGCTGCTGAAAACCGAACGTCATTCCTTTCCCTTTGTGTTTGTGGTCTAACGAACAAGCCAATCATGTATAAGAGATTTGACAATACGTGAGCCGCAGGGCGCTAGGACGCAGGCACGCTTCTCAGTTTTCGACAAATCAATCAATCGTCGCTGAATTTAGACGGGCTCTGTGTTTTCAAGCAACGAAAAGGTTAATTTGCAAAAAAGTTTGTTTTAAGCTGTCAAGAATGTTCCAAGTGAAAAAAAGGTTTGATAGACCTAGAAGACTTTTACCAGGATCGGTTGGTTCTTCATTTAACGTGCACATGTACTGATATGCAATGAAGAATTTAATGTGCCGGATGTGCTCATTGTGTTCCTGTGAAGACTAAACTTTCCAGGGTACTGATTCAAAAAGCCATCTTATAAATTATCGATGAGCGATTTCCCGAAACTATACCTAGCTACTTTATGAGCACATCCATGTTGTGCATCGCAAGGTATTTGCTCGACTTGATTGCTGCTGCTGCTTATCTCCTAAATTTTGAATAGGAGTCGACTTCGACAACACTACTGTAGTTAATTGCTTGTTTTCACGCGACGATTTTGATTATTCTGTCATTCACACATGTGGCACTGATCAAAGCAAAGCTATGACTGGAGGAGTCACAGTACCGCAAACGTGGCGCGAACACCTTCCAGAAAATGGGAGCTGAATTATAATTGGCTAATCACGGGAAAGGAATGTAGTTCGGTTTTCAGCAGCCGTTAGTGGGGAGGAGCGTTGCGTGACGACTCTAAAAACGGCTGTGTAGCAGACTAGGCTACAGAGGTGTCAAAATTCTTCCAGTTTGTGATAGCTACATGTATCATGGTTCAGTATAACATATGTTATCACGGGCCAGTTCCACAAATCTCAACGTTCGACGCCGTAGCTAACGTTTGACGTTCAGTACAGTTTTTAAACTCTATTTTACCGCTAGAGGCGTTTTCCATTTAAAAAAAATTCCAGTTTGAAATTTCGGATATTCCAAGTGCCCAATGGAACGGTACATAGTTCCGGTTGCACAAACCCGATCCAAGCCACCCCGCGTTTGGTTATGGTTCTTGCAAGCAATATACAGAAGAGCGGTACTGGGGACAACAATTTGCAAAACGGTAAGGGAAATTTTGGTCCGACCAAACGAAATGACTGGATCGGTCAAGTGGACTACCATCAAAGGTGGTCTCAAGTCAAATGTTCCGGTCGGACCGAACAGAAATGGTCCGTTCCATTTGATTTCTAAACGGGCTAACCGAAAGCGCCCAACATGTTAGCCGTTCGGCTGACACTTATATGCAACTGGAGGTCACTGTTTTAGTTGAGAGGAAACGTTCAGTACCTTCATATTCCTCATCATCCATGAGTTCTTCGATTTCCACCATGTTCATGAGACACAGCACTTCAGTGGCTGTGTTGTGGAGGCTGGCAGACAAGTCCAGTCCGGGGATCTGCATCTGAGCAGGAATCATGCTCATTGCATCCGGCTAAAACAAAAGAAATATATAAAGGTTAAACAAAAACACAAAACAGAAAAAAAAATGATGATGATGAGGATGATGATGATGATGGTCATGGTGATGACGAACACGATGATTTACAATCCTACTGTGAATTCTTACAATCTTGTATTCTTACAATACAATCCTTGCCGTTAAATAGTTTGTTAAAGACAATTTCAAGCCAGCATGTATAAGTTCACTCACTAAAAGAGGGCAAGGAGGACCTATCTTGTACACGCGGAATTTTCTGCTTTGATCCCAAGAGAAAGAAGTTCTTAGCTGTAACAAACCCTTCAACGTTTATTGACTAAGCTTGTCAGCAACTTGACCAGTATCCAGCCATCTTGAGCTAACAACTTCGTAAATTACACTTAGAAAGCTTGCTGATTCTTATCCATATAAGTTTTGTCACATTTAGCTTTACAGCTGTGTCTATAGCCTTGTACACTGGTGAAATTGTTGTAGAACTCTGAATAGATTTTAACAAAATTAAATCATGGTGAATATCCTCAAAAAGGAGGTTATTCTGTAGACGCAGTCCATAAAGCATGGCCCTACACTTTAGGTGAAATTCACACACAAGACCAACTTCAAATCAGTCCTTAAGCTAACTACTTGAATACAAGTTAAGTAAGAATCCTTATGCACAGATTAAGAGTATTTACGAGGACTGTAAGCATTTGTAACGGAAAGGATGATAAGCGAAACAAAAAAAAACAGTATGTTTATGATACATGTACAAATGAGTTGGTCAATTTTAAGCCTGGTGAACACATGAGAAAGATGTTTTTTTTTTCCGTCAGTGACAAAGGCGGCTCGGAAGAAAACATCCGAGAACTTCCAACAGGAGTCAAACCTATGACCTTCTAATTACTACTCGAGATGCTCTACCAACGAGCTACAAGAGACTTGGGAGCTAAGGTCACGAAATTAGGTTCATGTGACAAACATCCTATATGCTGCTAGGACCAGAATGTCGATATGTGATTATGTGCAATGATACAAAGGAGATGCTGAATTTTATGCCTGGTAAATGAATGAGAGAGATGTTTATTCAGTCCATGACAAAAATGCACATGTATCAAACCTTCTGCTGCATTTCTTCACCATCCTTTGTAGAAGTGTGACAAAAAAATGTCCGGATGCAATGACAAAATGTTTTTTTTTGGAGGGTGTAAACACACAATGACGAATTTGCCTTGGTCTTAAAACTAGGGTACAGTCCCAAATAATTCAACAAATCAACTTCAGAATATTTGACCCAAATTTCCCTATTTAAGATGGGTTTGAATTCTGGTGATCAAAATAATTATTTGGAAAAATCCAAATTGTTTTAATAATGTAATTTTTTCCAGACCAGCCTGACATAATGATTTACTCACATTGTTCATATTTGTCTTGGCTCCAACACTTGCTCTTTGAACAATCAACTTTTTCTCACCAAGCTGCATGCCATTTAGTCCCGTGATTGCCTGGAAAAGAAACAATCAGTTAAAGAAATAGATGAAATGAATAAACAACTGAGCTAACCACATAGCTTTTACTGGAAAGCAACAAAACTCACACTAGGAAATGCCACTGGAAGCTGTTAATTGTGAATATATTCCTACCCTGCCAGAAGAGGTTTCATTCTGGTATGGTTTTAAGCATTATTTTACAAGTCGTTCGCATTGCTGAAATTTGCGTCATTGGCTTGTTTACCTTCCTGAAAAGGGGTGTAAACAAGCCAACTATGTGAATGCCGGCAACATGAACAACACCACACGTGTTAAAAGCTATGCCAGAAAGAAACCTCTGTTCTCTGCTCACAGGGTCACTTATTTTGTAGTGTTAGACATTATTGAAAACTGATAATGTAAAACCAATGTAGGAATCTTTTAAAACTAAGTTGAGTTTGATTGTCCAGGTGAACGTAGTCCTGAATAGGACTGTTGTTGTTGACAGTGACTGAAGTTTCGACAACCTGTGCAGTAGTCATCTTCAGAGTCAAAGTGAGTTGTATCATGTCAGTTGATGGTATTATACTCAAGGTTATTGATCTGATTGGTCAATTACGTCGCGATGTTATTGGTCGTCTGTCAGTTAAGCCGTGCTGTTATTGGCTATGAAGACTCATAATCAGTAATTGGTGCGTTTCGATCTGTCTATTGTCACAGTTAAACAGTCCTCTATTGTTGGTCAAAATTGTCAGTTCTCCAGTCATTCTCTCGTAGTTAGTTTTGCTTGATCTCGTCAATAAGTCGTTTGTACGGCGCTGGTAACTATTGGCTATGATTCAGTAGGAATCTTTGCTTACATTTTTTTTGCCTCATATATTATGCTTTTCATTATCTGATAAAACTATTAATTACAAACTACAGCCTTGGATATTGAAAGAGCATTATAATTTCAGTTATCTGTGAAAATTTGAGCCTGATAATTATATCAAAATAAATAGTTTCAGAGAAATTCTGACTGAAAAACTTAAAATTTTACAAGGAATGTTTAGGCTCATTAAAGCTTTTTGCCAACCACCAATTTCTGCAAATTTTGGTTGCTGCTACTGAATTTCCTTTGATACTGCTTGCAGAGAGCTGAAAATTACAAAAATTGTTCAAAATGACCTTTTTTACCCTCAACTGTTGACCTTAATAATATTGTACTAACAGTGACACCTAATTTAGGCTACTTGTATGTCAGTGTGAAAAAATAGCTCTCTAGAGAGAGTATGTGTTTACAGTTTTGTTATCTCTGTTGCGCACATGCCTTTTTATTGGCTTGCAATGTCATTTAAGCATGAGATGTAACCTATTTTGTCAAAGAAAATAGAGCAAGATTTCTTGCGTCGAAGAAGAGTTGTAGCACACCAATGACCACAATTACCCCTTTTTTGCAAAATTTATTTGATTAGCAAAAAATAAACTGATATAATGACAAGCAACAATTTAAGCATAAAATACCCTCCTTGTTTGGTAACCGAATCATACAGTATTTGTGTTCTGTATCTGACCTTCAGAATTATCGCATTTCTTATTAACAGACATTATGGAAATGACATGACTGCATAGTGTTTAACAGTTTCTATGGAAACTATTAACACACACACAAAAAAATAACAACAACACTGTACACTGTTGAAGATTGGGTAACTCACCACATCAGTGATATTCATGTCCACATATTCACAGAAGGCATATCCCTTGGAGAGGCCAGTGGCACTATCTTTCACTAAATTGAAGGCTTTGAGTTCACCAAATGATGATAACAGCTCTTTGACCTGTCATGGAAGATACAACCAAAAAATCAGCACAGGCTACAAATAGAGAAGCACTCTAAGTAATTTTTTGGTGCACTTTTCAATAAACCAACCCCAGGGTTTCACTATAAGCATTTGTTTGAGACTTGATAAAGCAGAAACTGCAAATTAATTTTATTGAATGCCTTCAGAAACTCTAACATGTAGGTTTGTTTACTTTTATAATAATTCTTTGTTTTGGATTATTTTTGATCCCCAGATCATTATTTAATTTCCATTACCAATGTTCTCTCCAAATTATTAAATTGTTCTTGAAAATAAAATAATTCACAATAAATACATTTTCCCAAACAAGGACTTGCTATTGGAGCAACCTATTAAAGACTTGAAACTGAACACTGTACAGAGAGCTGGTATGCAGGCAAGTCATAGTTCATAGACAATAAATTAACAAGCACATAGCAGGCATGAAACACCATCACTATTGCAAATTTTATTTTCCTAACCAGCTGCAACCTGGTTAAAAATAGTTATAAGGCACTAAAATTTAAACTGAATTGTTGACATCACCCTAAAGGAAAAATAAATGAACTTATCACAAATTAATTTGGAGCTTTGAAGTGGTATATAATGCCAACAACTGAGATTTAAGATAGCGATCCAAGCAATCCAAGCAATCATGGCAAAATAATATTATGGAAAACAAACTTAAAAGCTGTTAAGGAGAGGAACTCTGGTGATTCATGCCTGTATGAGGTTGTTGGAATGTTTTAACAAGCAGTGCATACATCACTCTTTCAAGCTCTCTTTCCACACCCTCAATGTAGAATTAGAACTTGCCTTTAGCCAGATTTGATGACCTTTTTAGGCCCCCCTAAGCTAGGGATTAAATGAGGGGGAAATAAAATTCAAAATATGTCAGTCGTATTTGAATCAATAATATTAAAGCTAAGAAACTTTGCTTAGTTCCAGGGAGATCGAGGACTACAGCTGTATGTGGCACTCCACATTTCATTGTAGTGGTCATTATTTTTATCCTGTTATGAGTAACAGCTCAATGGACCAAGGGTAGTAACTTCCAAATGCCAATTGATCTTGTCATTAACACTGATAACCAAATTCACACCACAGATAGAAGACAATCAAACAAACTTGACAGACAAGTAAAATGTAGGCATTTAGTTTCTACCAAGTCATCGTTTGCAAAATAATTTAAGAACAGTCTCCTGAAAAATGCTGGTTAATTTCCACCCAAGGTTTGCAACTGTAGAACTCATTTCAGGCAAGGTGGTTATTTTCAGATTGACATGCCTTCAATTTTATCATTATCTGACTAAGGGTGTGAAATTATTACTTTAATTTATAGAATAGTGGATAATAATTTATTGAGGGGCTTGATTTAAAAATATATATATATATATATACGTGAAGCTCTGACCAACTAGCTTGCAGGACAGAAACTAAAATGTTGTTTTAGAGAAAGCACTGTACGGCACGTGACGTAAATCTGAAGCAAAAATTCTATTTTGAAACAGAACTAGCTAAAAGAGAACACTTAGCACTGCCAGTTGCTTTCAACCAAGTCCCTTCCATCACTTTTTTTTTTTGAAGGCTTGTTGCAGAGGAACATGGGTTAATACACATCTAGCCTGCATGGGGACATTGCCTACACATTGTTTCATTTGTTTCACTCAGAAAAAGCAGAGAGTAACAACGGAAGTAAGAGACATCTACACGCAGGCTATACATCATACTACAGTTGAACCTCTTCACAACTATCTCACTGGGAGCAGAAGAGGAGGGAGGTTTACAGCGGTGATTATATTGGCGTGAACACCTAAAATATGTCTGGAATGTTTATTGTGTTGCAACCAATCACAGGTGAGATCTTCACACCACAGAAACCACAGGCAAAGAATGGTTTCCGATCGGTCATGGAACAAATTATTTTCGTTTTGTTTAAGGATACAAACTACCTTATTAGGAATTTAACACACCGCTGTTCTCCAAGATCAGTGCCAAGGACCGCATCCAGTACATCGTTCGATTTTAGAAAGAAAAGTTTTAGAAGCCAACGCGACGCGACGGCGACCAGCTTTCCATGTAACGACATATCACATGAAGACAATAAAAAATGAACAATCGTGATGTTTTCGTTTCTGATAGCACAATCCTTGCTGATATTTTTTTGTAGAACAAGGGGATTTGATTTGTGTGAACTAACGATTGAACCTTCAAACTACTATCTACTACCTATGATCAGGCGTAACTACCGATTTTGATCGTTACAAAAAGTTTGAAAACTCGCGTGCCAAACCGTCGCCTGCGTAGGCCCGGCACATCGGCTTTGTAATTTATTTCAAAATCGCTCAAACCTGTATTCTTCGCTATTATAGCAAAATACTGTAAACAAATAGGAAGGAAAAGCAATTGTTTACTCGTAAAAAGACTGAATGTTAAAACAAAATGAAAATAATTTGTTCCGTGACAGATAGGAAACTGTTCGTTGCCTGTGGTTTCTGTGGTGTGATGATCTCGTCTGTAATTGGTTACATCACAATAAACATTCCAGACATATTTTAGGTGTTCACGCCAATATGATCACCGTTGTAAACATTTAGTCAAGTTTATGGAATTGTCAATTCTGATGTGTATAAATATATGTAAAAAAATTGGCAGAGTAAAATGCAATTTATTAGAAATAATCCAAGCTTGCTGCCATGCCAAGAAGTTATAATGATATGCTGATTTCCTAAAAAGAAAAGCTGAAAAAGAAAGTTGCCGAGTGCTGTCTTTCAGTAAGCCGAAGGCAATGGGATGATCTAGAAAAAAATTGCTGAAAAGAAATGGCTGAAAAAACAAAAGTACGATTTTGGCATTAGTTTCTGGTTTGATATTCCTGCAAAAAAAGTTCTAGATCGAATTCCCTTCAAAATTCATCTGGTTCAATGTGTCTGCAGAGAAATTCTTTATGACTGTGCACTGTTCTAGTGATGTTCCAGATTTAATGTGTAATGCTTTCTTGCACTCCACGTTTGAAATAAGATGATAAGTTGTTAAATTTGTGATCAATGTTGTTCAAGCAGCACAAAATTATTATGTGGTAAAATATAACCAAATTTGATCGCGCACAAAATACCAATCTAACCTTAAGGTATTCAGCAAAGCATGAGAGAGAAGAGCAATAACTAATAATTTACTGTTTCATAAAACCGCATGATCTGAAACACTGTACCAAAAAAAGACAACTCCAAAGGTACAACTAATTCTTCAATTCATATCATAGCAGACTCTTCGTTCTCAAGCTTTCTTGAAAGATTTAAAATAATTTATCTACAATGTGACAATTATTTATGTTGCCATCATACACAGAATCTTGACTTGACCCTGTAATGCTTTCCACTCAACACTGCCTTACGCTGCCAACTTTACCTGATCTTCATTTAAGTAGTTTGGTAATCCTCCAATGAAAATCTTGTGAGGAGAATCTGGTACAACTGTTGAAACCACACCCGGGACATGAATTGTTGCTGTTTCTGCAAAGCAACACAAACAAACATATACAGCTGCCCATTAGAAACAATCAGTCTTTACTGAGGATATCCACAAAGTATTACAAAATAGTGAAATTTCTATAATTTATGCATCCTCCTCCTTATATACAATGTATTTGTTTTTGAGTTTGTTAATGGATGATAATGAATTTAAAGCAGAGGGGAAAATTGAAACCAAGGATAAAATTAAACCACAGCAGACATACACACTCATTAGTTAATACTGTAAGTTCTTAATTTTTCTTGTTCTCATACACGTAATAAACCATTGCATATATGCTTTACCTGTAGATGTTTTTTATCTTTTATGTTGACAACAACTATAATAATTAATACAGTATGCAAATATTAATGATACATGACTGTATACATGTAGTTAGTCGTACGTAGTATTGTATTGTCCATACAACTGTACAGTGTACATGGAATATATTTTTAAAGTCCTTGTTTGGAAAATGAATAGGAGATTACCTGACATTCCAGGAATGGGCTGATAGTCCTTGGGTCTCCTTATCTTCAGTGACTGGCCCTAAAATAAATTAATCATAATTCAGTAACCAAATGTACAGTGTGCAGCAGCCTACAGGTAATCAACTGACAGGACAAAGAACACCTGGAATCATCAATAACTAGAGTACAATAACACATACTCTATAGAGTTACAAAACACTCGGCACAATAACAAGAATTCTTTCATTACCTCTAATATGATCCCATCAAATGCCATTGCCTGGGTAGTCTCTTCAACTGAACGGAGCTGCAAACATTTTGCACGTACATGAGGTTAGTATCATCAAGAAAGCCAATCAAAATACAACTGTAATACCAGGGTATAGTACAATGTACATGTTCCAAGAATGGAGACATAGTCAATGAAATCACCATCAAAACACAGCCATACATGTACCTCAATAAAGGCAAAATTCTGTTCCAAGTTGATTTGTGCAGCAATAACTGGGTTACCAGGAGCTGTGTTTAACTTTGCTTCTTGCATTCTGGCATTGAAGAACTCTATCATCAAGCTCTACAATCATACATAAATTAACAATTACTGTAAAATATTTATAATTAAGACAACTAACTGTGAAAAAATATACATGAATTAAAACCAACCCACTGATTTGACCTTGTCCCTTACTTTGCAACCATATTCTTCCACACAAAACTTTAAAAAAAGTATTACACATATGATAGTCTCAGTCAGAAATGTAACAATGTCATTTTTCAGTACTGTCACTGAGAGAGCTACAGATCCAATTTCAGTAGCCTGTTTTGACCAGTTCACTTTATTTTCTGATTTAAACCAATCATTTGAGTTACATGTACATGTACACAGTGATTTTGTCATATCTGCGTCCTGCATTCCTGATGCATAAAAATCCCCACCGACGCAAAATAATTCAATAGATGCGTCCCATAGGATGCAAAGATGAATCGATGGATCTGAAGTTGTCTTTGTAGAAAATCCTCCTTGTGTGATTTCTGTTGCTGTTAACGTGGCTGTTGTTTAATGATACATATTTATTTTTGTCCCCCCATTTATGCTGTTTAAATGGAAGAACTATTTCAATTCAGTAATCTGTGATAAAGAGTTTTGGAGTCTGCCTTCAGATTCAGTAACTGCCTGGCTCGATAATACCCAGGCATTTTCAGTTTAGAAGTCATTGTTTTTTGAACTGGGACTTAATGGTTCTGGACTGGGACTCATGATTTTTCACAAGATAAGTCCCAGGTTTTTGCTAGCAGTAATGCCTTTTATACATTAGAATAAAGGTCAAATGCATTTTAAAATATTAACTGTGAATTATTTTTATAAATACATGTAATATTCATGTGGAAAATGCATCTTGCTCATACAACACCTTTGAGTAGAGTGCACAGTGTGTCTGAGTCAAGCACGAGGTTGGGGGTAGTCTACAGTTACAAAATCTACTTTTAGTTAATTAAAAGTGGAACATGCTATTAAACTGCAACATATAAATACATGTACATGTGTTTCAGAATCATGAAATGAAGTTGATTCTTAAATACATTGTGCAGACACTGTAAATGTACATGCAATGTCCCAGTTTAGAATCTTGTTTCATGGCACAAGTGCAGAGCACTGTTATAGATCTCTACCTTCAAAGATAATAATTACCTGGGAATCAAGTACTGAAGGCATCAAAAATAAATAACCCACCTCAGTTATTCCAAATGGTATGTTTCCAACATACAATCTTCGAGCCTGTCTTGTCATCTGACTTCCTTGTGGCAAACTGCTAACAGTTCCACCAGGTACTGGACCACCTGCATTGACTGGAATCTGTCCCGCCGCTATTTATAATACAAAGAAACACAGACAAATACATGTAAATGTAATATAACTAATAATATTAGTGACAAACACCAAGGACAGAGCTGTCTTTAATGGCCATAACCATGACACCTGTTATGGCTAAGCTCACTTGATGTTACAGGTGATCAGAGTGGAAGGCTACAGTAAAGGTGACACTGTAAACTGTTTCCGATATGTTACGGGTGAATCTTCATTTCCTACAGCTGTTTTAAAACTGAATGACAGACCTGACAGGTAAAATTATATTCCAGTAAATAACACACCTCTCATAGCTTTATACTGTGCCGGTGTCATATGTTCATATCCAATTGGAGGTCTATCCCACAAGCTTTCTCTGGAAAATAAACAAAGAAAAAGGAAACTGTAAATCACTGATTTACATTGTACATTGAAACAGCACTTCAAAACAGTACATGCATCAACAATTTACAGGTCAGGGTTGTCACAAACTTAAGTTTTAAAGTCGAAGACGGAGTTGTCAAAGTAAGCGGCCAGTCAAGGGATATTTTATATAAAAAAACCTTCATCATCAGCAAAGAAATGCCAGGCAGAGTAGCCGGCTAAAACTAACCAAGTAGGCGGTTCACTGGCAGCCGACTACTTTTGACAACCCTACAGGTACAATGTACACTGTACATTCTCACAAAAGGTATAACAGTAAAAGAAATTATTATTAATGTCATGAAATAAAATTCCTGTACCTCTTCTTTCTTCTTCTTGGAGGAGACGGTGATCTAAATTAAGTAAAAATAAAATGCTCAAGATAATGCATTTCATGAATAGTAAGGGTTGTTTCAAATCAATCCTGCTATGAGGGTACAAGGAAAGCAAAAGCTTGAATAAATAAAGAAGGTCTAGGGATAAAACTGTACCATGCTACAAGACTTACCTTCCTCGATTATATCTGTCTCTTCCACCACCGCCATAACTTCTGCGATCTCTAGGGCTTCTTGACCGTGATCTTGACCTTCGTCGACGATCTCGCCTTTGGTCTCTATCCCTCGATCGATCACTCCCTCCACCTAAAAATTTCAATGAGAAATACAATGTGAGCATTGAAATTATAATTTATTGAGACATTTACTGTCAAACTCAGAAAACTATGAACACCTGAAAAATTTCAGGAATGTTGATTGTGTAGTAGCCAATAACAATAAAGTTCAAAACATGCAAGCAAACCTCAATAAATATAATAAACTAATTACCGTCGTCATTTGCAGTTTAGTTTTCTTGTGCCTTATTGGCTTTTTACTTGGAATGCAATAACATTCCATAAATATTTCTGGTGTTCACGGTTTTGTGACTTTCACAGAAATACATGTAAAAACCTAAAAAGGAGCTGTACATGTCAAGCAGCTAAGCCACACTATTTTTTTTTGCCCTGGTAAGGTTTGCAAAATCTTTTACAATGTACATGTAGCATGGCAGTTTGAATTCTTTCGGCAGTAACAGTGATAAATAAAATAATATTGTAAACCTGTACACATAAGTTCTGAAACACTTCTGGCCATCTTGGTTCAACCATGTGCTTTCCATGCATGGCAAACAGAGGGAGTAACCACTCATTCCACCACCAGCTACAGGCCCTTATTTAGCTTAAATTTGCCTTCAGATGGCACAAAAACGAGTTGCCAAGCATTTTTCAGAATTATTTTCAGTATGCCGAACAAGTACATACTAACAATTAAATACAATATCTGCCCTAAAAAGAACTTTTATAAATAATGCACAAGAACATAACTTGGAGAACCGTCAATCCAATCTATAGCTGTTGACCTCTGGACATTGGAAAGACCTCCTTATTAATAATTATACTTCCCACGCTTACTAAAGCAACATCTACTGATTAGACCATTTGACAGATGCCCATTATTATTTTCTCCATATGGTGTATAGTGTGTGTGTCTTATTTATTACCTTATTTTTGTTTTTTCTTTCTTTGCAACTATTTTACCTGTCACCACTGTGTTAAAAAATCTCTTTACAGCTTGGCAATAGCACCCAAACATTTGTTAATTTAGCTGCTAGAAATCCTTGTTATCATAATGCATAATTTTTGAACATATTATTTCTTCTTTTCTTTCCATTTGCTATCGAAAAATGTAAAATTCTCTATTTGGATGTACATGTAATAATAAAGGTTGTTGTTGTTGTTGAAAACTGAAAAAATAAAATAGTTCATTGGATTACTTCCATGGAATTGCTTCTTTTTATTCAAAAGGAAGGTGACATAAGAGAGACTGTGTAGGTTAATTACTACATACTTAAAATCTCAAAACATGATGATCTTTAAAAGCATATTAGAACAACCACCGCACAGATAACGGATTTTCTAATTGGGGGTTTTGATTTTTTCTTTGAAGAAGCCAAAAAAATTTGGACCCTTCGCACAAATTTTTCAAAGGACAACAAAGAATGAACCCTTGAGGTTTCATTTTTCAAAGGGTGCCAACAAAAATTTGAGGTTACCGATTCCAGTCATCTTTGGAGGGGGGGTGCAGGTAAAAGAAAACAGAACGTCCCAACAGATCTTTGTGTCCAAATCGAGCAGACACTTCTGCAATGATTCAACATTTAGACATGAATCAAGTGCTATAGAATTCAAAAGTAAAGCATAACCACTGAAATTTTATCTTGCTGTTCAATGTTAACTTTGATAAGTTAGACTGATAGCTCTTGATAAAAGCAATATTTCTGTTATGTTCAAGATGAGATCAGCAATAAAATGTTGGTGTGCCAAATAACATTTTAATGAGTTACAGTGTGTAGTACTGTCCGGTATCTACTTGAACAACATGCCCACTTTACTTAAATAATTTTTTACTAATTAGCAGTATTACTAGCTTTCAATTCGAGTTTAAATATGCACTGTAGACGGCAAGAGAGACTAAAATGGGACTGTTTACGACTTCTTGAACATTCAGTAAGCGTAATTCCAATTCAGTGTACCACTTATTTATAATTGCAAAAAAATTTTACATCCTGGGAAACAGCCAGTGAGGGCCAGCAAATCAGCACATCAGCTGTATAGTTGCTTATTTTACCTGCTTTATGAAATAAATGTAAAAAAAATGTCTACTGGTAATTCCAATAGAATTGAATGCGATGACTAGAGTGACTTACCATATTCGTCTCTACTGTCACGATCATTGTCATATTCCTTGCGAAAACCACTTATTTTAGCACTAATATCATCTTCCAACTTGAAACCATTTCCATCAACTGCTGCCATAATTGCTAAGCAAAGTTTTAAGCTTTTTTCCCTGTCGTTCACTCGATACACATGGGTCTTTCAAACATGGACGGCACTCAAGCGCGCGACTGGTCTCATGGGATAGAGGGCAACCTGAAAACGAGGCAAAGCTACTAGTCCCCAGGGGCTCCTCGGAAATAGTGCGGCATACAAAAATAAAGAAACAAAGAAAAAATGCAGTCGACTCCCGATAACTCGAACCTTCAAGGGAAATCGAAAAAAGTTCGAGTTATCGGGAGCTTGAAGAAAATAGCCGAGAGTAAGGTAAAAAATAGTTTTTACAGCACGGTGAACATTTTAACACATTTAATTGTAGAAGTGTCAAGTGAAAATTAAACTGGGATACTTCAAGATTATAAATCAGAACGTAACTTAACAAAACATAGCCTAACTAAATAGAGCATGTGTTTCATTGTTTTGAAAAGTAAAGCTGCTTCACGTTAGCCTGTGACAATCAACATCAGTCTCCATTAGTAAACTATACTCCTACAACACGTCAATAGGAAATCCAAAATTCAATGTTTCGGACGCCAGTAGACGGCTTTTTCCCGATTTTTTTAAGGGCTGAAAACATGATTCGAGTTATCGAGGAGTAAAATTATATAGAAAATGACCCAGGGGAAACGAAAATTGGTTCAAGTTAGCGGGAGTTCGAGTTATCGGGGGTTCGAGTGAGTTACCAAGGGTAAAATTACAAGAAATGTATGACAGAAATCCAGGGAAAATCGATTTTGGTTCGAGTTAGCAAGGGTTCGAGTTCTCGGGAGTCGACTGTATTCCTCTGGGAGGACATGAGCTTACTGGCAAAAAAGAGCAGTGACGAGTACCTATGGTCCAAAGCATAAACGTTCAACGCCGTGCGCTACGAGGACTATTATTTTCCAAAGAGACAATTCAAATTATTTACATGTAATAGTTTGTTTCACTTAGTGTACCTTGTTTTTTCAACACGTTTGGTTGCCAATATGTTTGGAGTAGCCGTACTGGGGGACGTAGTGTCTTTGAACTGAAATTTTCAGGAGACCTTAAATTTAACATGTTAGTAATAAAATATATCTTAGATGGAACTGTTATTCAGAAATTTTTAGCATTTCTTGAGAATTTCTGGGCAATATCGGTAGACTTATTAAACGTCCTGTAATGTAAGTTTTTTTCCTGTGCTGCACATATTTGAATTAGAGCTGAATTCAGTGATGAAGTCAATTTACAGCGTCGCTATTTCAATCTTTTTTTAGCGGTAAATTGCTTTCATCAAATCAGTTCATGATCATAGAAACATTTTTTTGTGTATTTCGGAAACCAATCCCTTTATTGAAACTTAAACTGAAAACTAACCTAACGTTTATCTTAGAGGGTTGAGAGGGGATGACACTTGACACTTCTAGAAACTGATTGCGGGCCCAGTACGCGTCCCCAACTAACTGAAGGCACTATTTATTGAATTGAGTACAGTCAACTCCCTTTGTAACATGCCAGACACTGTAGCCAGGAACCTTGAGTTTAGTAGGGAGCTTAAGCAACGACGACAGAGACGGCAACGAGGGCGGGAAAAAAGCAATACGTTTAGATCGGCAAAATAACAACTTTGCACGTGCATCACATTTCTTTGCCGTCATTGCACGACTACAACGTGAAAGTGCCCTCACGTTTTCGGTCGAGGAAATGAACACAAGACAAAACAACTTTCTTTTTCTTTTCCTGAACTTTTATACAGTCCTTTAGATTTCAACTACAAAACAAACTGCCAACATTTGACGAATTAAACGAGATGGAACAAGCGAGATAAAGTTTGAGGCAGTGCGACGGCTTCGTAGCTGTCGCCGTCGTAAGCTCCCTATGGTCCACATTAGCGAGAGTCTGTAATAGCGGGAAGGTCAAACATCTGCAATTTATTTTTGCTATGGATTTACTGAGCTGCTGTCCGTATTATCGGGGTGTCCGTTATAGCGGGGTCTCCGCAAGGGTGGGAGTGTGTGTGTCGAGCTGAGAGAAGGGAAAGACCGGATGAACCCGCCAGGGAAAAAATACTCGTAGCAGACGAGCATTTCCTAAAACTCCCGAAGAATTTTTGGGCCCAGAAAATTACATTTTTCACATTTATTTTTCCACATTCATTTTATTTAAACGATCCTTGCGAGGTTTGTGCAAAGAAGGCCAACATTCAGTTCGGATCTTTTAAAGGTTTTCAATTTTTCCATTTATATGAAAGAAATCAAAATCGCATTTCTGCTGATAGATTTTGCGCTCCTATAGAATGTTTTTTTTATAGAACCGAAATATTTTTGGGAGTCTTGGGAAACGCGTGTCAACAAACAGCAATCCCACACATAAAGCGTTGACGACGGGACTCGAACCTAGGCCACACTGGAGGAAGGCAGTGCTCTTAATACATCGCCAACCTTGCTCCCCAAAGACATATAAGCGGTAACCTTTACTTTCTTTCTTTCTTTAAAACATGTAAAGCACTTAAAATGAACACACATATAACAAACCAAGCAAGCGTTTGTCTGGCTAATGCCATTTCATATTTTATTTTAGTTCATTGTCAGAAGGATTCACAGAAAAGCCAACTTTTTATTCAAAAATCTTGGTACAGCTAGAGTTTTTCGTTCTTGGTACTTAAGTTAAAAACAGCTGGAGTGGTGAGAAATGCTCTTCTAGTCCTGACTCGTCCCCAATCGTCTTCGCGTAACGCGCGCGCGCGGGAGCAGTCTCTCTCCCTCGCTTTCCTCCTTCCCATCACACCCCGCGCGCCACTAGGGAGAGATAGTGAGGGACGACTGGGGACGAGTCAGCTTCTAGTCCGTAAATAAGACCAGCGTGAGGATAAAATTACATCACGAAACAAATTACTTGTTGCATTGTCTTTTCAACGACGTTATAATCAGCAGGGAAAGGATAGAGAAACGAGAACACTCGGAGGAAACGATACAATCCTTTTGAGTTTAATACTACGTGTATGAGATAAATCATAAATGAACCGTGGATGCATGTTACCGTTGTGTTTATCTTACCGGCAGAACTGACATCAGCAGTAGGTCAAGGGCTAATGTACTCCTGGACAAGGAGTGGACCTAACTGATGCTTATTATAAGAAATAAATCAGATATAAACCGTACAGAACGATACTGCATATCCGCATGTCAATGTTCGAATTCCCTTAAACTTCTTAAAGTTCTATTTTGTTCAAGGCTTAAATTCGCAACTTCTTCAACCGAACAGGTACAACAATTGGGTTGATCATTCCTTAATTTAATTATTTTGATGCAAAAGGTTGCACTCTGCAAACGGTTCCAGCCATTTACTGGCAAACTATTCGATGGTTCCAATGTCGGTCAACCTCGAGGGCAACAAAACCAAACATTTCATCCCTGACCCTCTTACAAGTACAAAATATAAAAGGAGCTTGAAAAGATTGATGATCACGCTTTTTTCTTCTTTTTCTTCGGTGGTTCTGATGTTTCAAGAGCAAGGGATTTTTCTGGTAGCGAGGTATAAATGGGAAGAGATATAGAGTCTGTTGTCTTCAGGTTCAAAGACTGAATGTTGTTCCAACCTCTCGGAACTATCCTGGCGATTTCAGACACAGCAGCAACAACATTTTCCACAGCTTCCTCCACTGACTGGCCGGTGTGCGCCACCTTAAGTGCGCTGTATTGGTAAAAAGGAAGATAGAAAATTAAGGCAGGGATAGTGATTTTAATGGAAACCGGTCGTTTCGTTAAAAAGTCGTTTCTATAAAATTCTTTTCCATAAGAACTCAAGCAGTGAAATGACACAAAAATTTCGTTCACTTCAAGTGTAGTTTGCGCGTGAACAAGAAAAATATTTTGGGTGAATATCTTTCGTTTTTTAAGCCAAGTAGGTGAACTGTTTAAACCTTGACTGAATAATCTATCGAAATCTATCAAAATGACCAGTAACGGATTTTATTAGTGTGCGTCGGTCTACCGAGCGGCAGGTCGTAGGTTCAAATTAAACCCCGCAAGGACCAACACCAAGGTGTTTAAAAAATTAAGTAAGATCATGCTGGCTGGGATTTGAGAACTGGGGTATTTACAATTTACATGGGAAAACCGGTAATTCCGGTTGGAGAATCAAATGGTTGGACCCATTCCGTTGGGAAGCTTAAACAAAATGGGATGCAAAAAAATATTTGAGGCGATGCCATTTTTTCTTCTCTTTTTAGTTTGTTCAGCTAATTTGGATAGACTCTGCAGCAAGTCGTTGTCCTATCACTTCAAGTTTTATAGTTTTATGTTTATGCACCAGATTTCCACCCGGGTGGTTTGTGTAAATGGTAAGAGCCCCTGGTCTCAGTTCAGACTAAAAAGTATTTGGGTGTTAAGCCATTGGGTTTGTCTACTACTGGTCGAAAAGAGTAGGCGAAGTTTCCCTGGTGGTGTGTGCCTTGCACACATCATTTCATATCATGGGTTGGGTGGGTTACAGTAAGCTCATAAATGAACCTATATTAGCCTGCGAACGCAGGCATATTTCAGGTTGTCACCTCTCTCCATAACCAGAACAACCAGCTAGACCGGCGCCCTTCTTTGGAGCTTACTGTTAACATGCTAATGTAGTAAAGAGGACATATCTGTTGTCCTCTCAACCATGATACATCCACCATTTGTTCCATTTAGTAAAACCAAGCCTGCATGGCAGGGGCCAAAAGGGGTTGGTAATCAGGAGAAAAAGAAAAGGGAGTTGTCCTCTACTGCCCTTCCCACCTCTTTTTTTGCACCCACCAAGCAGGCAATGCAAATTCCTAAAAAAAACATAAAAGTTCTGCCAAAGAGGGGGTCACTGAACAGTTTGGATGGTGAAGTCTGAAAAGCTTAAAGCATGTAGCAAACAAGTCTGTTCGGCTTCATATTCATTGTACTTTGTAACTGTGGTCAAAGGCCAGCACATTAATTAGCTTGTGTGGCAGGTGTTAAAAGGGCGGGAAAGGGGAAGGGAAAGGGGTTATTGGGCACGTGAGAGTGCAACGGATGCACGAGGAGGGGATTAACTTCCCCTCATCCCACTCCCCTCATGCTTTCACATGCCCAAATTGCCCCTTCTCCTTTTAAAGCCTGCCAGGTAGACTACACATTAATATGTTATGAGAACTTGTACCTGCATGGCCCATGACCCAAGCTCAAAAGAGAACAATGAAGAACTTTGTCTAATTCCTTGTTTAGATTGGTTTTCTTTAGATCTACTGGGACAGGAAACCTGCAGACATACAATTTAAACCATTAGTTCTGTTGTTGCTGTTGTTGTTGACATTACCATTTGCTGCCATTCAAATTTATATTCTTAGTGGCTTTTGCGGTTCTTGATCACCTTTTACATGGAAGTGTCGATAATGAAATGGGAAATACTACAAGTCCAACACTATTAATGTATACAATCTGTTTTTTCATTTAAGATCACTAAATATTTCAGTTTCACTAGGCTGAAAAGCAGGAAAAAAACAAACAAACAAACAACAACAACGACGACAATAATAATAATTATCATTATTATGAAATAAAAATAATAATTTCATCACCATCATTCTCATCATCATAACAATGGTAAAAACAGTGTTCAAACCAGTAACACAAAGTCCATTTTTTGCTTACACAGAGGGCAAAGTGATCCCATTTCATAATTTTATTTATGAAATTGTTAAAACAATTTTTGGATGAGACTGAGGGTGTTATCCAACAAGGCGATTAGGCTGAGGCGGATAATGCCCTCCAAGATCTCCATAATTCTTCAGATGATACGAAAGCCTAATTCAATAAATGGCTTATTATTCATTCAAAATAATCTAAGTTCAAAAACAAGCCAAAACATGCTTACCTCCATCGATGTTAAGTTCATCTTCAATTGCCCGTTTATCGGCAAGTTTGGAAGATCAAGCCAAAAAGGATTGTTTAGTGCTGCAAATATTCTCCCAAGAGCAGATGTCTTCTGAAATGTCTTCTTGCTGTTCTTGTTATGTTTTTAGCCGATAATTGTTTGCCTATTTCTTCCTCGTGAAAGGAGTGAAATGCCTCACCAATTTGTACTCACTACCAAAACAACTTGACGACCTCATCCAAGGTCTTCTAGGTTAACTATTCAGTTTTCTGGCAATTATGTCACACAATTGACATCAGTTTAAAGACTAAAAAGCAGCAAACAACACCGGTATGTTCCTTTTTAGTTTATGACTCACTGGAAGTTTACTTGCGGTGAAAAAAAACCCCTAAAATCATAAAAAATCCCTCCTCCTCACAATGCACATACTGTGCACCTAAAGCATCAGCATATTATATATTTTTTTAATCACAAATTTACATGTAAATAAACATTTAGTGAGTTACTTACTTTTTTCTGGAGTAGAAAGTTTTTCCAAGCAGTCGTGGCAAAAAATGGTAAATTGCTTCATCGCAGACAAAAACATCATACAATGAACAAAGCTGTCGTTTTGCTTCAAATGAATGATAATTCTTTCGTAGCTTGGTCAAAGACACTACCTACATGTCAAATAGGAAATAACAAGTTATCCAATGATTAGGACCAACTTATCGGTGGAAGGAATGTATGTGAACAAAACAACCATTACATTTTGACTAAAAGAAACCATTCTAAAAATTGCACAACGTAAATGTATATCTAACTTGCAAGTTTAAAGAAAATAGCATATGCAAATAAAACCTATGGCTGTATATTTTATTTTATTTGTTCTATGTCCACACTAATAGTTTCAAATATTACTGGCAACAGAGATACAACTAATAATCCAACATAAAGTTGAGAGGTAGAATTTAAATAATAATTATTATGCTTTCAAAAATCAGGAAAATTTTTGTTTTAATCAGTGAGAATGCATTTAATTGTAATGCCACCTCAATGTTCTGTTGAAAAAAAAAATGTAACAGTAAGAAGCTATAATTTTTCCATTCTTCAACTAATCTAAAAATTGGTGAAAATATGTGTAATGAGAATCACCTTTTTAACATTCACTCCCTTGGCTTTTAACATTTCCTTTGCCTTTGAACTTTCTTCTTTTGTAAATAAACAAACTTCCACATCATCTGAGTACAGTGAGTGTGGTAACAGGCTGACATAAAGAAAAAAATACTTGTAACAAAAGACATACATCTCAGAAACAAGAGCAATAAGGCAATTTCTGGATCGCCTCAAGCCTCTGTGCCAAGGACAGGCTAAGTGCAAAGGTCCATTGATATGAAAATGAATTTTTATTCTCAAGCAAATAAAGAGTCATTTTCACAAGAAAGGTTTTGCACTTGGCATCGGTTTGAAAGAAAGAGATTTTGGAACTTGGAAATGGCCTATTGAAGGCCACCCTGCAACTCTCTAACCTTTTTAATGGCAATACAGTCGACTCTCTCTTAACAGACACCTCTGTAAGACGGACACCTCCCTAAAACAGACACCTAGAGTTGGTCCCTGCCTTTCTTTACTCCCTTTATTTGACTCTCTGTAAGAAGGAGATCTCTCTAAGACAGACACTTACTGCCGGTCTCAAAGGTGTCCATCTTAGAGGGAGTTGACTGTATATGCTGTAAGCTTAAGAGAAAACACTTAGTATAAAAATATTGGCTGCCGGATTAAAGAATGGAAACAACTAATTTTTTCGTACCTATTATGTAAACTAAAAGTATTTCAAATTTATGCCTTGTTCTCGAGATTGTAAAAAAAAAATGCATGGCCATTTTACAGAGAAGTTTTGGAGCTACATATATGAAAGTATTACCACATGCGGCCACGAATATACATGTACAGCATGGGATTAAAATGAACACGATACAAAGTAACAAAACTTGAAAATAAGTTGTTTAAGCTTAAATTATTTGTTGTAGCCTTGCATGCGCTGCCGGTTAAACGCATTTTCGTTGTTGTCACTTCGCTTTTAAACACTTACATTTTCCTCGGCTTCTTGTCAGGATTAGGAATTTTTTTTAGAGATAAGATCAAGAGAATGGTGTCGTGGTCACTCAAGAGATGCAGTTGTTTGCCTTTTTTCTGGTCCGTATGTTTCATAAGGGCTGGAATGGCCAGTTCAACCTTGAAGAGATCGAATCACCCACGTGAGCTTCAAAAGTGAGTAAATGCTACAGAGTACGGCAACAAATCGATATTTGTGTGTAACACGAAGAAACCGCGTTTACGACATCTTATGGGTTAAAAACCTGTTTTCTTTCCAATTGACTCTCGCGTATGGCTTTGCTCCCTGAATCCGCCATCTTGAAAGAAGCATGTGGCAGGGACAAATAGATGTACGTTACATGAAATACTACCCGAAAACTTGGCAGAGCTCGCGCTTCGAGGAGCACCATGGGTAACAAAATTGGTTACGACTTACTTTTAGTGAAACGAAAGCAATTGACCTTACTTAGATTTTCTCCTCGTTGTTATAACAACAACAAAGAAGCAAATCAGTGGCAAGAGCCGATTAGTATCGGCTCCTGTTGTCAGTGGATCAGGGATAATGCATGTTTATTCGCTTAGTTTATCCGCCTTCGCCGCAAATCAATCGCGTTAAGCATGTTTTTGACAAAAACGCTTTGGATATTATCATAAACGCATTAGTTTTTAGTAAGCTATTTTATTGCTCCTCTGTTTGGAGCAACACCACCCAAACTAATCTGGACAAACTCCACGCTGTACAGAATTTCGTCTGTAGAACTGTGAGTGGGGCTGGAAAACTTGATCATACCACTCCCTTGAATGTTAAAGGACTTGCGCTGGCTCCCAGGGAAGCAACAGCTATACTTTCGACTTGCTCAGTTTTATTATTTAAGTGCATGACTGGGTGCGCTCCAGCGTACTTAACATCGATCAAAGTTCGTAAAAAGATCGGCCGTTTCGACAAGGACAACCAGGAACTCGGAAATGTTGAGACCCTGGGAGTAGTAAAGGGGGCCACTACGGGCTCGACCAATCAGAAAGCCGGATATAGGTCACGTGCTACAAATGGACCAATCAGCGTGCAGCAAGAGGTCATGTGACCTGTCAATCATAATTAGTGAGTTAATGGTCCATTTAAACACGCTAATGAGCTGTCAATCACTCATTAGTGAATGAGTGACGTCATAGGGGTGATGACGTGTTGTAAAAGGGTGTCACGTTATAGTGTGGCCCCTGTAACCCTAACCCTAGAGCCCTGTTACCCTCACTCTAACCCTAAGGGCTCTTATATTGGAAGACGAAGGTGAAGTCTCGTCCATGTGGGAACCCTAAGAGAGAATTCGCGAGGGCGCATGCGCATTCAAGAAAGGGGTGTTTTTGGGGGGTCAACGGCGTTCCCCTGGGTCCTGACCCTAACCCTAGGGTGGGGCAAGGTCGAGGTCCCCCCGGACAGTCACGTGGGTATTCCCTAGGGAATTCAAAAAAAGGAAAAAAAAATAAACACATTTTTTTGCACAGTGTTCAAACTCAGGTTTATTGCACTTGAACCCTAACGTGTTACAAGCGGGAACGTGTGCCCGACCCTAGTGGTGTGGGGCGTCCCTAGTGGAGTCTGATCTTCAGACGATGGTACAGGCGGGCACGTCGACCCGAACTCGTGGGTGGTGGTGGTGGTGGTGGGGTCAGAGCGTTCACAGGTGACTTCGGAACACGGCTTGGATGTGGAGGAGTCCCTTTTCTTGGTTCTCGATGCTGTAGAGGATGTCTTGGTAGTGGGCGTGGGTACTGGGATGGTCTTCGGGTGACTGTTCGAACAAGTACCGTACAGTATCTCTGAGGCCTTCCAGGTTTTCCCGGCACGTCTCTAGATTTTGGACACAGGTGGTGTAGGCGAATTCGCACGATCGTCGCTGCTTGTCCGCCACGTGGGGGTCGATCAACTGGCGCCTCACTTGCTGGCACATGCGGTTCAGACGGCATTCGTAGCCCCAGTCTAGGTCCATGGAAATGTTTTCTCTCAGCTCCCATAACGTGTCCAAGTACTCGTCCAGGTAGTCTCGATTGAAGGCCATGGGTGCCATGATCGGGAACTTGGGTGTGCAGCACGAGAGCGACCCACACGAAGGTCAACGAGACTACGGTGATGGGTGCGATCAACAGCATGGTCAGCATCGAGGTGCAGCGTCGATGGGAGGGTCTCTTATATGGCCCTCTCAGAGGGGGCGCCAAGCCCCTCTGGGAAGGGTCTCTAAGGAGGGGGGGATACCCCCCCATCCCCCCTCTTTTTCGAGGGGTCGAACGGGGAGGATGGGAAGGCACGTGACCCAGCGTATAAGAGGTGGGACCGGTTCCGACTCAGGTTGTCTGCAGTGGGTCTTTGAACAAAGATGGCGGACTCTTTACCAGTCGTACCCGACGATTTGCCGGTGTTACCCGACGAGATTTACGAGATGATCGCGAGAATGTATCGATTGGCCACGGCGAAGGATCGTGCTTTGGATGGATGGTACAGGATCCATGGAGAGATGCGCTATTTACCCCGGTGCCCCAAACGCAAGCGCATCATCAACCTTAAGGGGTTTTACGTCCCTCGCCATGGTAACCTGTTAAAGCCTGTGACGGGGTACTTTTTTCGAAGAATGTTGCGGACGGTGTTTTCCCAAAACGTCGACCCCAGGTTGTACCGGTGGTTCCGGCGAGTGTTTGGTGAAGACGATTACATCCGTTCTAACCAGGCAGTCGAGTGGCCTTTTATTTACTGTCACTATTGCGGGGAGGGCCACGAGTGTGGGGACGAAGAAGAAGAGGAAGAGCGGGAGTACCAGAAAGAGCAGCGGGCTTACCGAAAAAAAATGCGTCGCGTGGCCAACGTGTGGGCCCAACGCGACTGGCAGACACGCCTCCGCCCTCGCCGCCCCAAGACCTAAACCCTCACCCTTCAATGTTTATCAGGGACCCCCTTTGGGGTCCCGCCCACCTTTGCAAAAGTCAATGATCAACCTTCAGATTTAAACACGGTTTTATTGTTTTCATCGCTCGGGTCGATCGCGTTGCGCGAGTTCTTGCACGTAGCGCTTGTAAGCCTCTCGGTATTGATCTTGCAGGTGAAGGAGCATCTCGGTGTGATCGTGATGCGCTTGCAGCCCTCGTCGGATACGTTCTCGGAGATACTCGTCCAAGGTGCGATAGTCGTCGAGGCGTAGCTGGCGATGATACTCGGCATTCATGAGGACAGCGTGTCTCGAGTGCGTTGGAAGAGCGAGGTAAGTTGCTGGTGGTTCAGTGGCAGGGAACGGAGGCCCAAGACGGCACTGCGTGGATGAAGCACCGGAAAGGTCGAGGCCGAGAGCGGAGTGAAAGTCTGGTCGCTGGGGGCACGTTTATACCATTGCCCGGTCGTGACGTCACACAGCCACAACGCTTTGCCCAAAGACGAGGCGAGCTCGGTCACGCGGCCGGTCTCATCCATGTCGCGTAGAGGGGTGTACGACCCAAAGAGGTAGACGGTATGGGCATCGCGGAGCACGTGCTGAGTCGGCCCTTCGAGGAGGTGAACGGTCATGCCGTGGTGGTCGGCCAAGTCGGCGATTTGGTTGTCGGGGGTGTACACCGTGTAGTCTTGCAGGTTGGGCATGGTGCCGAGCGAACGACGTTTTCTCCTTCGTCGCCTGGCTGGTCGTGACACGGGGCCTTTTTGCATGACTGGCCTGGATTCGGGGACAGAGAGGTTTTATGGAGTGAGCACGGGGTGAGCACGTGGGGGGCGGAGCCCGACCTGACCACTCACGGGCACTTGGGCCCTTATAAGGCAAGGGGAACGTCATGAGGACACGTGATCGACCGGGCGTATAAAACGGCGCGGGGCACCTCGGGCGACCTTGTTTCATCATGGCCGCTTGTACGAGACACCCTACGCGTCCGGCACCCGTGCCAGCCGGTCGTGCCAAAGGCCAGAAACGTCGAGCGGAGGAGACGTTGGAAGACAAGACGGAGGTCTTGGAGGAAGGCGAGTTGGCCGCCTGGTTCTTGAACGAGATGGACCAGGCCACGCAGACGGAGCCTGTCCCGTACGCGCCCGTGGACCGACCCGGGGTGTGGATGTGCCCGTTGCATCCTGAGGAGGCCTTGGCCGAGGGTCGTAAGGACGAGTTTGTCTATGTGTACTGCCCGCGCGACACGTGTCCCGTGTTCAGTCCCCAAGACCGCGTGGACGAATGGATGACGCTGGTGACCCAACAGTTGCACGAGGAATTGCGTCAACGATGGGATGAACTGACGTGTTTTTGTGATCGACGGTTATCGCTGCGCAAGAGCGGGTCGGAGAAGAACCCTCAGCGCATGTACCTGACCTGTCGCGACGGACACTGTCGCTGTTTCCTGTGGTTGAACCTGCCGTTGTCGGGCAAGATGCGTCGTCGCGTTCGTGGTGAAGACTGGAGCAGCCCCCACCTCCCCAGGGCTAAACGAGAGTGCTTGGCCGCCCGAATGCGGGGCGTGGACGGGTCGACGACCAAGGGGTTCATGATGGCCGACAATGGGTACAACTCCCTGACCTCCCCGGGTATTTTGGAGGGACTGAGGTATCGTCCCTGGATGCACGGTGCTTGGGAGGAGTATCAAGGGGCCAGCACGCCGGACGCCCGTCGTCAAGTGTTGCTGTTGGCGTACGCTCGGTACGAAGGGGAAGACGGGCATCATCCCGAGAGTCCGCGGGTCCTGAGAGAATTGCGCGACCATTGGTTGGAGGGGAAACCCAAAGTGTGGCACGGCAGTGTCTTCACCGACAGTGAGATGGAGCGATTGAACGGCCGGGCCTCCTCGGACCCTGCCTGGTGGCAGCCACGCCGGGATCGTTTGAACCAATAAAAAAAAAAAGACAGAGAGTCGACGGTGTCTTGTCGTGATTGCGCGTGCGATATGAGGAAGAAGCAGCAGCGCCGCGTGAGTTGGGCGGACGCCTACGAAACGCCCTCGTTGCGCGGGAGTTTGGGGGGTGTCGCGCGTTTGGCGCAAGCGCATGGCGTGCCGGTGTCGCGTGCCCGGGCGAAATTGCAAGGGTTGTTGAGTTACACCTTGCACAAACCACGGCGACGACGGTTCCCGACCTTACCGGTGGTGGTGCATGGAATGGACGACCAATGGGTAGCCGACCTGGTGGAGATGCAGCCGTTAAAGAAATGGAATCGGGGGATGCGTTATTTGTTGACGGTGATCGATGTCTTGTCCAAGTACGCGTGGGTGGAACCGTTGAAGAGCAAGACGGGCGTGGCAGTGGCCGCGGCGTTCGAACGCCTCCTGAAACGCGCCCGAGGACGTCACCCCGTGCGATTGCAGA